TCTGTATTTTACTCGGAGAGGACTGGTTGTAGGGGCAGGGGCAGAAGCAGAATCTGGGGGAAGTCATGGGAGCCAGACCTAGGTGGGAGCAGCAAACTGGCCAAGATGGTTGGGTTCTGGGTACATGTTGAAGGTGGAGCTGATGGGACTTCCTGCCTGATTGTTTGGAATGGACAAAAAGAGAGGGATCACCCCAGGTGAGGGGCTGAGCACTGGCCTGTGGGCAGGGGGGCACCTCAAGAGAGGCAAATTTGATGGGGACAATGAGGAAGGAAGCAGGAGTCCCCTCAGGGGTAGGTCAAGCTCGAATTATGTATTAGGTGTGCAGATGGCTGGCTGTAGTTGGAATTCTGGGGAGAAGCCCAGGATGGAGACACAACTTGGGGATGGTCAACATGCAGATGGTATTTTTAAATTGAAACTAAGAACCTTAGTTCTAGCCACATCAGAGAGGGTCCAAAGACTGGGTTTTGGGGGCCTTCAACATCTACAGGTTGGGGAGATATGAGGAAATGGTAACACAGATGTAGAAGAACTTCCAGTAAAGCAGAAGAACCAATGGAGTGTGGTGTGACCAAGCCAAGAGAGCAAAGTGTTTCTAGAGAGAAGAGTCAGTGCTGCTGAGGGACCAGGTCCGGTGAGGTTTTCAACATGGCAGACATGGGAACTTTGACGAAGGTAGTTTCAGGGAATGGTGCCAGGGAAAGCCAGTTTGGAGTGGGGCTAAGAAAGAGTGGGAGTAAAGGAATTGGGGGTTGCAGATCAAGGCAGCTCATTCCAGAGACTTTGTTCTGTAGGGAAGCAGTGAATTGGGTGTGTAGGCTGAAGGGGCCGTTGGTTCCAGGGGGTTCTCCTGGACCTGTCATGGGAGAGATTGCAGCGAATCAGCAGAGCTGTGAACATGCATTGGTGAGAAGGACGGGGCTCTAGGATATAAGGCAGGCAGGCCATCAGGTGAGTGTGGACATTCTTCTCTGTTTTCTGTAGAAAACAGGAAACAAGGAAACTGCTTCAGTCAGTGGTCAGTGATCTCAAGTGAATCTTCAGGGTGATTTTATGTTTTTCTCCAGCAGTGTGGTCCATGCAGTGCAGTGGGAAGAGCTGAATCTTATCAGTCCTATCAGGAAAATGTGATGATAGGAGAGAGGAATAAATTTATAGAGGAAGTGGAATAATGACTATCCAACTACTCATCTCTTCACCTGTCTACTCATCCATTCACCCACCCATTCACCCATCCACCCATCCATCCATCCATCCACTCATACATACATACATCCCTCCATCCATCCATCCCTCCATCCATCCACCCACCCATTCACCCATCCATCCACCCATTCACCCATCCGTGCATACATACATACATACATTCATACATACATATATCCACCATCCATCCACCCATCCACCCATCCACCCACCTATCCATCCATCCATCCATCCATCCATCCATCCATCCATTCACCCATCCATCAACCCATTCACCCATCCATTCATACAGCCATCCACCCATCCATTCATCCATCCATCCATCCGTCCGTCCATTCACCCATCCATCCACCCATCCATCTACCCATCCATCCATCCACCCATCCATCTACCCATCCATCCATTCACCCATCCATTTATACATCCATCCATTCACCCATCCATTCATCCATCCGTCCGTCCGTCCGTCCATTCATACATCCATCCATCCATCCACCCATCCATCTACCCATCCACCCATCCATCCATCCATCCATCCATCCATCCATCCACCCACCCATCCATCCACCCATCCATCTACCCATCCATCCATCTGCCTATTTGTCCGTTGGTCTGTCTATTCATCCCTCCATCCACCATTCTTCCATCCACCATCCATCCATGCACACATCCATTCATCTAATGTGCATTGAGACTCTTCTCTGAGTGCAGCAAAGTGCTGTGCTGAGTGCAGGGATGTGGGAGCAGAGAGTGAGCGAGTGGCCCTCGTGTTCTGGGAATTTCCAGTCCCCTGGGGAGCCAGACATGTTCACAAGCTGCTCTGAAACAAGGCCAGCTGAGACGAGGCCCCAGCCTAGCAGGAGGAGTCTGCTCGGCTCATGCCGCAGAGCCCAAGCCTCTCTTCCACTCTGGCCCCAGCAGACCAAGGAAGAAAGATGAAAAGGAATGTGACAGCACTAGCCATGCTGCCCTCTCTGTGCCAGGCGCTTTACGCCCTCGGGTGCACCTGATACCCTCCGCTCTTCCATCCAAGGCCGGTCCAGGGGCCCTCAGCCCGAGCTGCACAGCGGAACCTCATGGGAAAGTTTGATCGTAAATCCACTCAATTGCCCTGGGGAGGGGTCTAGGCGTGGGATGTGCAGCCAGGGTGCGGGCCACTCACCTGAGCACAGCCACCTCCAGCGTGGATGTGGAGGAGACAGGCAGGGGTGATGAGAATCTCCCCCACAACGCACCAGATCACACTAGCTAGGTTTTATTCTGCGTTTCTCTGTCTGGGCACCGTGATGACCTCTTGCAGATGAGGGAATTTGTTCAAAGACAATGAATGGTCACCCAGGGCCACCCGGTGGCTAAGGGAAGCCCTCCCTGTGTATTCCAGGCTCTAACTCTGTCCCTGGGCTGTGAAACTTCACACCCCCAGTTCCCCCATGAAGGGAGTGCGTGCAGGAGCAGGGGTGAAGATCTGAGAGCCAGGCAATCTGTGCTGCTATCCCCGCTCCTCCCATATCAGCCTGACAAGTCACTCAGTCCCTGTGCCTCAGTTTGACCAGCTGTGAAATGGGTGCTATTGATCGCCTGGTGGGTTGGAGGGGGATTCAGTGAGTTAGTGTGCAAAGCAGAGAGCTCTCTGTGCTCAGATGTGCTGATTTATTATCATGTCCCAAAGGGCCCTGGATGCCCCATCTCCCAGCTGCCTCCTGCCCACCCAGACCCCTTCAGACGCGGGCACTTGAGCCCCAAACCCACCACCCTGCCATCCCACCGTTGTGTTGTAGGTTCCCTGGCGGTCTGGGCTCTGCGCTCCAGCCCAGGGAGACACTGCGGTGGGAGTAGTGGCTGTCACTAGTCCCGAGGGGACCCAGGGAAGAGGGTGCTGGGGAGGGGTGGGGGTGAGGTTGGAACGAGCAGATAGAAGAGCCCCTCCTTCCTGGGCCCTGGAGGAGGGGGGAAGTGGGGGCCCTGGGAAGATGTGAGTTGGTGAAGGTTCTAATCAAATATTTATCAGTTAATTGATCTCTCGAGGCTGCTGACAGCGCCCTCTCCCTTACCCTCCTCCTCCTCCCTCCCGCTTCCCTCACCCCTTGCCCTGGCCTCTGTCCCTCCCCCACTGGGTGCTCCTCCGCCTCCACCACCCCAACCACCCCCTTCCTCACCCTGCACCCTCCCCTTCTCCCTCCCAGTAGGTAATGGGACTTTGTGGGCTACTTCGAAGCGGGTGGGGGTGGGAGTCCAGCAAAGGGCGTGCACTCATGAGCGTGTGTGATGCACACACGTGTTTCCCTCCCACTGCCTGGAGCTCAGATGCTGCCCCAGCTTCGGGCTCTGCAGACAGAGGGTAGCACAGAATTTTCTGCTCTTGAGTCCACCGCTCAGCAGGGAGGTCACCCCAGGAGTTAGGGGCAGTGAGAGCAGGGGCTAGCTCTGGGGGTTTAAAGCGGCTGGGACCCCTGGCAGAGAGTTGGCCTCAGGCCTCCTGCCAGCAGGGAGCTGGGCAGGCGGACAGGTCGGTCGGTGGGGGACAGGGCCCTGGGCTGCAGGCAGAACACCCAGCCCAGGTCTTGTGCACATTCACCAGCACTCTCGGGAGGCCAGGCCCCTCAGGTCACCTTGTGCTCTGGGTAGTTGTCTGCATTCACTCCTGCCCTGGATGGCAGAGCCCACAGAGGCTGGGGGCTGCCCATCCTGCACCACTCCCCGCCAGAGCCATGGGCCTGGCACCCCGCCCCCCAGACACACGATAAACAGTTGTGGGGTGAATAAGTAGTAAGCGATGAAGAACAGAGCAAGACCAGGCATGTTCTCTGGAAGGAGCCCCCATCTCACTGGGGCATGGGCAAGGAAACAGACCTCAAAACATGCCAAGGCCAGGGTGACGGGGGCAGCGCAGGAGTGCGTGGGGTTCCTTCTTGGTGAGACTATCCACGTCTGTGCAAGAGTCCTTCCACACTGGGGAGATAGCCAAGTGAGGGATGGCACCTGTCCTTCCAGATGGTGGGGACACTCTCTCCCGAGGACACCCTCGGAAGGTCAGAGAGTACCTCACCTGCTCAGAGGGGCTGCTGCAAACCTGCCCTCCCTCCCGGCATGTATCTTCAATGGGGAACAACAAGTGGGAGAAGCCAGGACCCCATCCCTACCCCACCTCACCCTGACAGCATGAGGACCCTCGTCCCTTCTCTGGGGCTGAGGGGCTTTCTCCCAGGGCTACAGCAGGGGTTCCCACAGGTGCCCAGATTGCTGCAGGAGGTCTGGGGTGCGCATTGCCGACAAGGTCCCAGGTGAGGCTTCTGGGTCCAAGCGCCCCATGAGAAGAGCCTCTGCCCTGCCACGTCGCTGGGACCCTGCCCCAGGGCCCTGGCTTCTAAAAGCCCCTGGGGCAGCAGGCCTTCAGGGACGGGCTGGGGTCTTCTGGAGATCTGCTCGGGGGTCTCAAGACAGAGCTGGAACCTTCCATGCCCCACAGACAGCACCTCAGCTCTGGGACCATGATGGGGGCCCTGTGGTGCCAGGCTCCCAGTTCTGTGGGATCAACTTTGATCATCTTCCCTGTAGGTGTGATGATCTCCCACTTTACCGATGGGAAGAAGCAGGGCCTGAAGCCTTCATAAGGCAGGAGGGAGGAGGGCGTGGCTCTAGGGGAGACAGGAGGGACCCCCATGCTGCTGGCACGTTCTCTATCGTGATAGGATCAACTGGGTAGAGGGTACACGGGATCACGCGGTGTTACTTCTTTTTTTTTTTTTTAAAGATTTTTTTTTTAATTTATTTATTTGAGAGAGAGAGAATGAGAGACAGAGAGCATGAGAGGGAGGAGGGTCAGAGGGAGAAGCAGACTCCCCGCCGAGCAGGGAGCCCGATGCGGGACTCGATCCCGGGACTCCAGGATCATGACCTGAGCCGAAGGCAGACGCTTAACAACTGAGCCACCCAGGCGCCCCACATGGTCTTACTTCTTAAAATTGCACGAGCTTAATGTGGGTCTGAAAGTATGCGTCGGTGGTCTCAAGCCCTGGGCTCCCCAGGCACCTCCAACGGCTAGATCTGGTGCCTCATGTCAGGGAGCCCCCCACCCCCACCCAGAGGGTCTGGGCCATGCTTCTGGAGACCCCCGCTCCGGCCTGCGAGCTCTCGAAAGGGGGCACGGTCCGGGCCTGCCAGCCGTCTAACCAGCCTGCTCTCTTTCCCTCCGCAGGGCAATCAGGACGCCACGGCTCCGCCTGAAGCGATGGCCCAGCCCTACCCCCCTGCCCAGTACCCCCCTCCGCCACAGAACGGCATCCCCGCCGAGTACGCACCACCCCCTCCGCATCCCACGCAGGACTACTCGGGCCAGACCCCGGTCCCCCCAGAGCACGGCCTGACCCTGTACACACCAGCACAGACCCACCCCGAGCAGCCGGGCACCGAGGCCAGCACACAGCCCATCGCCGGTGCCCAGACAGTGCCGGTAAGGGGCCCCGCGAGCCCAGAGTTCAGGGAGCAGTGCCCGCCCAGAGAGGAGGCTTGGCGGGGCAGTGAGGGCCCGCAGGGGGAGGGGCCGGGGGGGCCTCTGAGATGGACCGGCAGGTCCTTGCCGCCTTGGAGCTCTTCGTGTGACACCAGGCACGGGGTGGCTGGTGACCCCGATGGCTGCCCGACCCCCTGAGCGGAGCCTCCCAGCGGGGCCGCCAGCAGCCCGTCCCTGGGAGGTGAGGGAAACGGTGTGGCCTGGGCCCGGGTGTCTGCACAGGCGGGGGCAGGGCGACGGGAGGGGAGGCTCAGGGGCCCTCGCGTGTCTCGGGTGGCGGGCACGGCGATCATTTCTAATCACGCGTAATCCACCTGCTTGGCTGCTCTCCAGTCAGAGAGCCTCACTTAGGTGGTTGTAATGCACCTTCAAGGAGAAAGTGCTGAGCCGCACGCTTCCCAGAGGCTCCCAGCAGCAGAGGAGCGTGGCCAGGGGCGGCGGCCCGGGGTGGGCGCCCCACGACGCAGCCCCTCCTGGGGACCCGCCAGCCGGCCCCACCCCTTCCCCGGCCCTCCTCCCCATCGTGGTCTCCGCGTGCCCGCCCCTGCCTCGGCTCCCGGGCTTCAGCTGTCCCCGCTGGCTCCCTCCCAGTGCGGCTGGCCGGGGCCGGGCAGGAGGCCAGCAGCTTCCCGATGGGCGCCCCCCTCCGTGCTCCCTCAGCCGCCCTTCCGGCCTGGCTCCCGGGGTGCCCTGCGGACCCAGATACCACCCACCCTCCCGGTGTGGACAGCATCCCCCAAGCTCTCTGGGGAGAGAGCCCACCCAAGCTGCCCACTGGGCTGGACCGGCCCCTCGTGTGGGGCCCAGCCAGTGCGCTTCTGCCCCATGTGGATCACCGCCAGCGAAGTCAGACCTTTCCATTCCCCACGTCCCAGTGTGGGGAGTCTCCCCTAGACCCGTAGACCCCCCACCCGGGGTTCCTGCAGCTGCAAGAGGCAAGGCCTGCGGGCCCTCGAACTGGGAGCCGAACTGTGCTTCTGGGGCCGCTCTGCCTCCGCTTCGGCTTCCTCAAACCCACGGCATGGGTGTGCGCAGAGCAGAGCCGGAAGCGCTCGGCGTGACCGCATCACGGCCGGTGGACGGTGTCCTTCGGAAGGGCTCCGGCAGACAGGGTGTATCTGGCCAGACCTCCCCTGACAAGGCCTCCTCACAAACAAAGGGTGAGGCCGGGAATTCGCCCTGGATCAAGCGCAGGAGACAAGGCGGTCACACTGGCAGGTGCCCCGGGCGACAGCGACAGAGGCGACAGCGAATGCCTGTGCCACAGAACGAGCCGGGAGACCTCCTGGACACCGGAGTGCCGGGTGCGGCTGGACCGCGAAGAGCATGAAGCCTTCCTCCCCTTGGCCGACAGTCGTGGGGACCCTACTGTGTGCCACACACTGACCCAGCACGGGGGGGTCCAGGGAAGAGATGACCAGCCCTGCCCTGTGGTGGCCACCAGTTCCCGCCTGGCAGGGACCTAAAAGTCAACAGGGGCCAGTCACGGCCTCCATGCCTGTGACAGAATATGGGCCCCGGAGGGGACTCAGGAGTCCCAGAAAGGATTTGTCCCAACTGGGAGGTGGGAGTCTCACTTCTCTGGCCAAGCGCCTCCCGAGGAAAGCGCCTGGGCCCGACTGCGCCCCAAGCCTGGTCAACGGGGCCGCCTTGACCTTCCTTCGACCAGCCCGGGTCTCTTCAAGTCCTGCAGGCACGTCAGGGTCTGTGGGTCTTCCATCCGGGGAGACAGAGGAGAGACCGTTCCTGGCCACGCCCGGGGCCAGATGAGCCTCTGCAGGCTTATGTGGAGATGCAGAGGACGCGAAGACACCCAGGCAAAGACGTTGGCCACCGCTGGACAGCATGGGCGCTCAGAGCCTGGGTACCAACACGAGCACACGTGTGCCACCTCGGGAGGAGCCGGAGAGGGCGAGGGCACCCCATCCTGCTCTAAGATTCCAGTAGCCACCTTCTTCCCAGAAGAGCTGCCCGGTGCTCCCAGCTAAAGCTGAACACCTCCACACCGGGTCAGCTGTCCCATGTCCCATCCTTGTGTGAAGGCTTCTCAGCTCACCAAAGCTTCCTCTCGGCCCTCCCCACCCCGGCAGCCTGGGGTCCGGGTGGGGAGGTACAGGGCAGCAGGGGGTGAGGGCCACGGCTTCTGTCCAGACCTGCTCTCTCCTGCGTGTGGATTCGCTCGTCATCTCTGGCAGAAGCGGCAGGGGGTGCCGTGTGGGACAGCGGCTGCTGATGGATCGGGGCCCTCCTCACTACTCTGCAGGGACCCACAGACACAGGCTGGGGACCACCTCCCCAGAGTGCTCATTCACTCAAGGTCATGCAGGTCCCCTGCAGGTGCTCTCCCACCCACCTGTCCTCCCCGAATCCCGGGACAGCCAGAGGGGCTTCTACACTCAGAAGCTACTCCCACTCTCCCCCTCTTCCTCTGTGCCCTGCACCTCCCAGGGCCTGTCCCCTGGGCCTCTCCCCTCCCCAGCTAGCAGGTGCCAGCGCAAAGGGGACCAAAGGCCACAGTGCGAGATGGAAAGCACCCCCCAGCCCCCCCACCCACTCCCCCGCCACCGGGGGTGAGACCCAGCCGTGCGCCGCCACCATGCTGGCCGGCCAGATGCAGGCAGGAGACACCCTCGGTCAGCATCAGCGCAACAGGTGCGTGGCCGGCAGAGAGCTCTTAGAATATTCTGTCGCTCAGAGTCCGAAGTGGGAGCACACAGCTCCGCCCAAGGAGGGGCTGCCCGTTATGGCAAAGACATGGTCATAAACAGACGGCTCGAGGCTGCACCTGGAGATGGCCTCTCCCAGGCACACTGGCCACCCAGCAGGGCTGAGCCACGTCTGGCGAGCAGCGGATGGTCATTACACACATGCCCAGGAGCTTCTGGGGGAGCAGGCCTGAGGGGCTGCAGAGAAACATTTCCAGGATCTCTTCCTCTTGTCATATCAGCAAGCCTTGGCTCCATCCAGCCATGAGGCCATCCTGCTGCCCGAGCCCCTGCCAGACCCTCCGTCCATGAGCCCCTGCCCAGGGCTCTCTGGGCCTCTGCCTGTGCCGAGTGAGCTTGGGGAGGCCCAGGCACGGGGGCTGTAGGCTCCTCTGACGGTGGGGGATGTGCTGGGCACATCTGGGCCCTGCCCCTGGTCCACCAGGGGTCGGGTCCTGGCCTTGAATGGGGAGTGGGGGGAGGGGGCATGATGGCTAAGGTGACAGGGACAAGGAGAAGGATGCAGAAGCAAAGCTCCTGTGGCCAGCTGGGGGAGGGGAGGGGTGACTGAGACTGGTGGGGGGTAGGGTAGGTCACTGTTGTTTTCTTCTTCCCTGCGTTTGAGCACTGGGGGCAGAGGTTGCTTTAAAAGAGAGAGAGAAAAGACAAGGGGAGTCCCAGGGAAAGGCCTCTCAGGCCGGCCCCCTCCCCACCCCTGCCTCTCCCCGCCAGGCTGTTAACACTGGGGGTTTCTCCACACATCTTATGATTTTACAGTCACCGAACCCGTTCATCTGCCTCTGTCCGTAGCTGTGCTGGGGGGCGAGGGGGCTCCTTCCGATTGCTTGTGCTCTGGCCCCACTTACAATTCATTCCACAGGACCCCCCCAACACCCCATTCCCCCTCCTTGCCCTCAGCTGGCTCCCCTCCAAGGCTTCTACCGAGGGGTCTGGAGCACGGCGGGGGGGTGGGCTTGGATGTGGAGACTCACAGTGGGCCCAAGGCAGAAGGGAAGCTCGGGAGGCCCCGGATGCTTGCCTGGGCAGCGGCCCCCCCACGGCCCCCAACGCCCAGGGCTCCCCGGGTGCTCCAGGTGCGCTGGCCGAGCTGACCGCTGCCCTCTGCTGGTCCACAGTCAGCATTACATGCCCCTCTCGAGCTGAACTCCCAAATTCAGGGTGACTCCTTTAGTCATCTGTACCCAGGAGCCGCGGAGGGATCGGGTGTGTGAAATGCCCTGGGTGGGGGCATGGTGACAGAGGGCACCCTGACCACTGCACGGGAAGAGCCACACTTGGTCGTAACCAGAGGGTGGGAGAGTCAGCAGGCGCGCGGCAGGTTCTGCTTGGATTCAGGGGCGCGGACGAGCTTCTGCAGGTCTAGCGCGAGCTTGCTGTCTGCACGGAAGAGCGGGACCAAGGGAGAAGGAGAATGGGGGCGCAGGCGGGGCTGTTGGGCACTCGCAGGTCCCGGCTTCGCAGGAGGAGCTCCCCGGTGTCCCTGAGGCACCCAAAGGCGGCTGCCGGGTGTTGCCTCCGCGGACCTGCCACCCACCCCCACCACCAGCGGTTCCTCCACGGTTGCTCCAGTAACCTGGCTCCTGGGGCCGGTTGGTGACCCCCGGGCCCAGGTGCTACATCACCTCCAGCCCCAGCCTGGGACGGGCATCACTTGGCAGCCCGAGAGGAGGACTCCGAGAACACACGCTCATCAGAACCGGGCCCACCCCTCAAAGGATGGCTACCCCACCGGAACAGGTCACGCACGCCCCCGTTGAACAAGAGGACGGTGGCTTCCAGCCACACTGGGGATCGCGCACCGTTGCTGCTTCCTAACGTAGGAGCGCAGACTTGAGTGTAAGGGACCTTTGAGCAGGTGCTCAGCCTCTCTCACCAGCCCAGGAGCTGATGACGTGCACTCCCCTCACCTCTGGCATCTGCTGCCTGGGAGCCTGGTCAGAGGCCTCCCGGCTGAGCGCCGGAGTAGGGGAACAGCCCCCTCCTTCCAGAAAGGATGAACAGGTTGGCCATCAAGGGCAGCCACTCAGGAGTCCGCAGACAGACCTCCTGCCACTAGCCGCCCCTTGGGCTCCATTTCCTCGGCCTGGAGGAGGCCTCGGGCACAGTGGCCTGGCCCTGCTCACCTGTCCTAGCTCTGGGAGGCCTGTTGTACCCGTCAATACTCCTTTGCTGGACCGCAAGGAAACCCACCAGAAAGTGGCTTAAGCAACGCGACGGTTCTCCGAGACCCGAGGGAAGCAGACTCTGGGCGTCTCTCCTCTGCCGGCCTGTCACTGCCGGTCAGGCCACGTGGGGGGCCACGGCCACCAGCGCTGGCCCTCGTACAAACTCCAGCGTGGGCCTCGGGGGACCCTCCCACCCCTGCTCTCCAGGCGTGTCGGAGACGCTCGGGGCCCCTCACGCCTCTGGCCAAGGTCCCGCAGTCCCAGAAGCAGACCCTGGACAAGGCTCCGAGTCCAAGCAGAGGGCCAGGGACGTGATCCCAAGAAAACGCTGACAGAAGAGTGGGGAACTGGGGCAGGCGAGCAAGGAGCAGGGAAAGGCACGTTCTCAGCCTGTTGGCCCCCCAGGGACACGGGGACACGGAGGAGCCCCAGGCACGGTGCCGGGCCGCCTGCGTGCCCGCCGTGTCTGTCACCGGCTGAGGGCCGCTCCCGGACACTCGCACTCCGACGTGCCCCGCCAGCGAGCTGAGCCAGCACGAGCCTCGGGGCTGGCGGTGGGCGGTGCTGGTGTGTCCCCGTGAGCGCCCGGCGTCCGGGTCACAGTGAGCTGAGCGGCCACCTCGGCCCATCGTTGACGGAGCGCCCGCTGCATGCCTGTGGCACGGTGGCTCAGCGGGGACAGAACCAGGCTGACGGCCAGCCGGGTGGTGATGGTGGCCCGTCCCTGCAGAAGTCCACCCAGAGGAGCCTCACAGGCTTGTGGCCTTGGCGCCCGTCCCGGCCTCGTCCTCGCGGGGGCTGTGCGCTCAGAGGTCCTTGCCTCGTGGGTCCCCGTGCTCCCAGCACTTAGACCGTGTCCGGCAAAGGGCAAACCTGGGACTTTGACGATCATAATAGTCGGTGGTGGAGCTGAGGGGCCGTTCAGGTCAGACCTCTGGGGACAGGGCCGAGCCGGGGGAGTGGAGACACCCCCAGCCCCGGAGGCCGTGCCCCGCGGTGGCAGCCGGCACAGCCCGTGCAGAGGCCTGCCGGGGGGAGGCTTGCGAGGTTGCGAGGCTGTACTTAGTGAGAATCGCCCGCCCAGACCCCCCACCCCAATCAGCCCCAGGATGGGGAGGCCCAGGGCGTTGGGGGGAGCTGGCCTCTAGAGCCTCCCCTCCTGCGGGTGGGAGCTGAGGGGCACCTCACAGCCCGGTGCTCTGCCCACAGCAGACAGACGAAGCGGCACAGACGGACAGCCAGCCACTGCACCCCTCCGACCCCACAGAGAAGCAGCAGCCCAAGCGGCTACACGTCTCCAACATCCCCTTCCGGTTCAGGGACCCCGACCTGCGGCAAATGTTCGGGGTGAGTGTGTGCGGCCCCTCCATCCCGGCCCCCACCCCACCCGCCCCTGCTCCATGTCCCCGGGATCCCACTGCCTCCTGCGGCCAGCGCTGCTCTGACCTGAGCCCGTGGGATGGGCAGCCAGAAATCCGCCCCCCACACCGCCCCACCTGTGCTCAGGGCTTCTTAGGGTCCCCGTGGGGCTGAGGCCTGTGCCGGACCCCTTGGGCCCTCAGAGGCCAGCTGGAGGGGCAGCTCAGCCCCCTGCTGCTCCTGCGTGCTGAGGGCTGAGCACTCCGCCTCTCTGTGCCTGTGTCCATGGGGCTCTGGGCAAGTGCTCCAACCGTGGGAAGCCGGCCTGGGCTGATTGGCTCCCTGGATTCTCCGGGTCGGTTCCTAGATTTTGTGCTTTAGGATTTCGGCCAGCTGCCGTGAGGCCATGAGAACCTGCAGGGCAGGCCTTCCATCCTGTGGCTACTTTCCTGCCGCTTGACCTGAGCAGCATGCAGGGGCTGAGGCCCCCTAGGTGCTGGGGGCCGAACCCCATGGGGGGGAGGGGGTAGGGGGCGGCGGTCAGGTTGTTCATCCGAGAACAGAGCAGCCACGGAAGCCTCGTGCGCCTGGTCCGCATTTTTTCCCGCACCCCGAACCCTCTTCCCCGCGGCCAACACAGTGCCCACCCTCTCACCCCTGCCACAAGCTAGGCAGTCTCTGGCCCCTGAACCCAGCCCTGCCTTCACGCCACCCACCGCCCAGATGGGATCCATCAAAGGGGAGGTGCCCTGAGGGTGGCCTCAGATGGCCTCAGCACCCACACCTCGCCCCAAATAGCCACCCCCCTTCTTGGAGGGCAGGGCCCATTGCACATGGAGCTTAGACACAGTGAGGGGCTGATGGGCTTTGGAATCATCAGGATCAGCTCCTCTTGGCCTGGGCCAGGCTGCTGCCGACCTCTTCGAGCCTGGGACCCCGCTGAAAGCCACCTTACAGAGCTCACCTAAACCAGGACCCTCAGTCCGTATCCCATCACTTGTCCGCATGCAACAGGCATCAACTGGCGTCAGCTCACCCGTCCCCACACCAGGCATTGGCTCACCCTGTCCCCACACCAGGGCGTCGGCTCACCTGTCTGCATACTGGGATGTCAGGTCATCCATCCCCACACCCAGGCGTCGGCTCACCCGTCCCCACACCAGGCATCAACTCACCCCGTCCCCATACCAGGGCGTCAGCTCACCCTGTCCCCACACCAGGCATCAGCTCACCCCGTCCCCACAATCAGGGCATCAACTCACCCGTCCCCACACCCGGGCGTCGGCTCACCCGTCCCCACACCCGGGCACCGTCCTCCCTGTTTCAGCCTTCCTCAGAGTTGGGATTGCATTGCTGTCTTGCTCCGTGTCCTGTCACTGCCCCTTTTGACAGCTCCCAGGGTTGTGGGATGCGGGGGACACCCATCAGTTACACAAACTGGAGGCCTCAGGACAGGCTGCTGGGGACCCGGTTGCGGGGATTTGGTTTCACAGGTCCTTGGTCTCCTGTGACAGTGAGAGAGCCGGGGCTGCCCTGGGGGTCCTGGGCCAGTGATGGGGCAGGAAGGGGCGAGGCACAGCATCTGGGCCTGCTGGCCAGCACGTCCCAGATAGGTAGAGGGGTTTGGGGCCAGTGGTGTTCCGCACCCCACACAGCCCAGGCTGCCGGCAGTATGGGGTCCCTCCACAGCACTTCGTCTCTCCCAGGGGCTCCTGCCCCCCTCCCAACCTTACCGTTCGGGAAGAACCTTTCTGTAGGCCTTTACCCTTTAGGGTGAATTAGAGGTGACCCTCAGTAACTTGGGGCAGAGTCCAGGCAGGGAGAGGAGAGGGACTCTGGGGGAGGCTGCCCCCTTCCCCGGTTCTCAGGCAGGGAAAGCTCTCTCCGCGGGGACGTGGGGCGGGGTCTCCTGTGCCAGACCCGGCTACACCAAGAGCCCCCCCTCTTCCCTGCGGGGGGCTGGGTGGGACCGGCAGCAGCTGAGGGTCTCCTGGGAGGCAGGCGTGCCGGGAGGGGCGGCCGGCTCTCCTAACCCACCCTCCCCTGTCCCCCACCCCCTCTCTGTCTTTGCAGCAATTCGGAAAAGTTTTAGACGTGGAGATCATTTTTAACGAGCGGGGCTCCAAGGTGGGTGCCGCCCAGAGGCTGCCACCATTACAGCGCCGGCCGTAGGTCCCGCCAGGCTAACGTGTGACATGTGCGTTTCCTTCCTGGAGAGCTCCGCGCCCGAGGACCCCTGAGCTACACGGGTGCTTGTACTCCCCGCCCCTCCGCCCTCCCGCCCCGCCCCGCCGTCTGCGTTGGTGCTGCGGCCGCTCGCTCCGCTCCGTTCTCTCCGAGCTGCCGGGACCTCTGTCTGCGCCCGCCCTGGGCCCCACCCGCCGACCGCTCCTCCGGGGGCGCCCCCCCCCCCGCTGGCCTGCCCGAGAGCCGGCCCGAGGCCCGGGGGCGCGGCTGCAGGGGGGGCACGGGAGGGGGCCCGGCAGACCCCAGCCCTGCTCCCTGCTCAGGCAAGGGAAGACCCCCATGCAGGCTCCTGGGGGGAAGGGGGGTGGGGCTGTCCCCAGGAGGTCCGGGCCCCCCCCCCGGCCCCCCTTGCCCCCCAGGGGGCATCAGGGTGACTGTCCTGGCCCCTGGCCGGCTTAGCATCTCTCTTGGAGCTTTGGCCTGTCCTCTGGGAGGTGCCAGGCGGTCAGCTCAGGCCGGGCTTGGGCCAGGCCAGCAGCTGCCCCCGCCTGGGGCCCTACCCTTCCTGGGCATCCTGCTGGTGGCACCAGGGCAGGCCTCTGGGCTGCCGACCTCTCCTTCAACTCACCTGACTCAGTCCCTCTCTCTCTCTCTCTCTCTCCCCCCCAACCCTTCTCTCCCCCCCCCCACCCCGCTCCTCCTATGTTTTCCTTCCTCTCATCCTCTCTCTCCGTGTCTGTCCTTCTCCGCTCACAGGGTTTTGGGTTTGTAACTTTTGAAACTAGCTCAGATGCTGACCGAGCCCGGGAGAAGCTGAATGGGACGATCGTAGAGGGACGGAAAATTGAGGTGCTCAGATAAGTGTGCTACGCAGGGCGTGCCCTTGAGACCCGCCACTGTCGCCCAGGTCCCCCTCCCCCACCCCTCAGCCACCCTGCGGAGAGCCGGGCCAGGGTCCCCGGAGCAGGGCGGCAGGGCGGGGAGGGCAGGGCCCCGCCAAGGCCGGAGCCCAGCCCATCTCCTGCCACCCCTCCTGGGCCCACCCCAGGGCCCCCTCCCTCTGCTTTCTGGAGGAGGCCCCCCGACTGTGGGGATCAGCCAGACCCTGGGGGAGCCCCGAAAATCGTGTGTTTGAGGCTTAGCAGCTCCAAGGACCACAGCCAGCTCAGTCTGTCCCCCAGCTGGGAGGTGCTGTTAAGCCCCCGGACCCCTCCCACCGGGGAGCGGCAGCCGCCCCCTGTCCCCTCCCCAGCTGCCAGGAAGGGACCTAGCCCTGAGGAGCAGCAGAGAGAGGAGGTCAGGGCCCCCCTCAACCCCCCTTGCCCCTTTTCTGGTGGGCTGCCCATCCCCCCCACCCCAGCGCCGGGGCTCTAGGTGTCTGGGAGCTGGGCTCCTGGACAAGCAGGGCAGTGAGGGGTGGCCAGAGAGGGGACGGGGTCAGCAGCAGTACTGAGTCCACGGGAAGAGAAGCGGAAAGGCCTGGGGGGAGGGCTTCCAGAAGCAGAAGGGGTCCTGGAGGCCCTGACCTCGGCCAGTGGTTCATGCCCAGTGGGCACCTGAGGATGCAGCCCGAGGTCCAGGGGTTCACACTGCATGTGGTAGAAGCAGAATGGCCCCGACTCCTTTCTTGGGTTCCACCACCTGCCCTGTTCTCTACCTCCTACCACACAGGCCTTCCCCCCTGCCTTTCTACACCCCAGCCTGGCCCTCCAGGGGGAGGGTCTTAGATGTCTGAGATAGGACCCACCCCCTTGGCGCCCACCCACCCGCCCCCTCTCCCATCGGCCTTGCTCCCGAGGGGTCCCATCAGGAACTCTCTGCTGGCCTCGGGAATGGCGTGCTACCCCCATGAGAGGGGTGCCCGTGACTGGGAAGGCCTCAGCAGCCAACAAGGGCACAGAATGTCTTGGGGCCGGTCTGTCAGTTGGGCTGAGAGCACTTTGTGGAGAGTCCACCAGCTAGCTTCTCCAGTGGCCTGGGGTTGCCAGAGAGAGACTGGGGCTTGGTTTGTGGGAGCAGCACGTGAAGGGCAAGAACCAGCGGGCCGGACAGGGTGCCTGAGCCGAGGGCTAGGAGCCGTGGTGGCCAAGGCCCCCTGGAGTTGCAGGGGCAGCACAGTGGAGAGGGGCGGCCTGGGAGGAGGGCAGGCCAGGGTGGGGGGCCAGGCGGGCAGCAGAGGCTGTCCTGGGCCTTCCTCCCAGCCCCCAGCCCCCTCCGCGTGGCCATGCAGGAACAGTGCAGAGCAGGACCGGGGTGGCCAGACGCCTGCAAGGAGGCTAACACTCCCCTCACCCTCACCTTCTCCCTCCTTCTCTCCGGGTAGGTCAATAATGCCACGGCCCGTGTCATGACCAACAAGAAGACTGCGAACCCCTACACTAACGGTAAGGCGCCACGGGGAGGCCACGGGGTGGTCGGCCTGGACACGGGCCCTGGAGGAGCCTCAGCCGCTGGAGGCCCACCGCCCTGGATGCCAAGTGCCCCCTCATGTCCCAGCTCTGCCGGGTCAGCAGGAGGGCAGGGGCCGCCCACCCCACCCACACAGTTGGCAAGACGCCTGGGCCTTCCCAAGCACACAGGGCACCCAGAAACCACGTGGACAGGCTTCGGGCACAGTGGGTGTGGCCACTTCCTGGATTACTACTTAGTTTCTAAGCAGTGAGGGAGCGCCTGGGCTAGAGGTACTCAATATTCAGTGAAAGTGAAGATGATCAGGATAGTTGCCTACCCACCTTGGAGACACTGGAAGGTTGAGGCCCCCACGGGAGCCTTGCCATCCATAATGCACTTCAACTGAGTGGTCTCACATGCACGTGCCGGACCCAAGCAGAAGCCAGTCCTCCTTGAAGACAGAACCCCAGAGGCTGAGTGGAGGGGTGGCCCTCAGCTGCGTGTCTTGACTCCACCCGGCAACGCGGAGGGGTTTGCGTGTAGCCAGCAACTCCCGGGGGCCTGTTTGAGTTCATCCCCGTGCCAGGGAATGGCAGCCCTGCTCACAGTCAGGATAAGTCTCCCTGCGGGGCGGGGGCTTGGCTTCTCACCCCCCAGCCTTCCTGTCCCTGTGTGATTGGCCACACAGGGACTCAGGTGACAGGCCAGCAAGGGGCAGGACACTGGGGGGGATCTGCCACGGAACCCACCAGCAGGGCCTCCCCCTGTGCCCTCCTGGAGCAGGACAGGCGTCTGGCTGAGCCACATTTAGGCTGAATTATTATGCCTCCCATCCTGCTTTCCTGAGGACTATGAAAGCTCAAAGTTTTCCTAAAAATCTGAGGGTGCCTGACTTTGCCAGTGTCCTGAACTCCCGTTGAGTGCTTGGCACTGGAAGGCCAAGTGGTAGACAGACGTGTTTAGAGAGTCAGGACGATCATCAGGAGCCAGATGCCCACTTCACCCAAGAGCCACACCCCCTACTGTCTGGCCAGGCCTGAGAACGCCAGGAAGCATGGAATTCAGAACGGAGTCCACGCCTGAACCACTGCATTCCTGGCCCAGGATGGGCACGGAATCAGCACTGCTTGCACAAGGATCAGCCGGGGGCTCACAGGAACAGTCTCACCGAAGCGTCCTCACTGGCCTGAGCAAGAAGGACAAGGGCCGCAGTGGGCTGGCCCCAGGTTCTCTATGGGCTGACAGTGAAGTGCAGCATGTGGGCTGTGGTGGCCTGGGAGTGTGGCTTGAAGACTCTAGAACACTCCAGAGCACTCAGAAGTTCATTGGTTGCGGGGGGAAGAGGAGCAGAAGTGTCCACCGTCAAGCTCACCAGGTTTGACCAGGTGTTAAGACTATTTACAGAAGAAACAAAGGAGACTCCCAGGAGGGTCTCCAGCTGCCTCTGTCATCTGGGGTCCCACACAGTGAAATGGGACTGGCAGCAACGGGTAGAGGCCAGGAAGCCAGAGTGACAGATAAAGACGCCCAGGATTCCAGGATCGGCAGGTGGATGTGCCAGGACCATCTCAAGAGAAGTCCCACCTCGAAGAATGGACTCAGAAAAGCCACTGGGTTGGGGCCCAGGGGAGGGGGGGCTCGGGTCACTGCTCTAGGACACTGCTCCGTCATGGGTTTTTACTAAGAAAACTACGTTCTTGGGACTGGAGTTCTTTTTAGGAGATGAAACATTTCTTCCCTCCTGATCTGGGATTCAGAGAAGGTTCCAGTCTCAGCATTAACGTTCAGACAGAGCCACGCTGGTCAGGTGATGGTGGAAGGGGAGGGAAGGTGACCACAGTCTCATGGAAAGTGGAGAATGGGCCCCTAGGAAGAACACGGTTGCCGACGGTCTGTCCTGAATGCCTTCCGGCCACGCACCCAGCAGTGGGGATGTTAGAATCTGGGAATGAGGCTCACAGAGCTGACGCTAATGACCTGCTCTGGCCCTTTGCCATGCTCTCCAGAGGTGTCTCGCTAGCTGGCCAGTGGGCTCAGTCCCTTTTGTCCCTCCTCACAAAGTCAAAAGGGGTATGGAGCTGGGCCTTCAGGGCATCCTGCAAACATAAGACCAGGTACACTGAGGGGCCAGGGGGCTGGGCTCGGTCAAATATACCATTCCCAGCCCATTCTATCTGAGCTAGCGCCTGGGGTCAGAGCCCCCTCAAAGCCAGCTGGTGTCCATCCCCAGGGGCCTCAGATGGAAGCAGGCTTCACTCCTGCACCTGGGTCCCTGGTGGGAGAAGAAGACTGGCCCAGAAGCCGAGGGCCCTGAGCCAGCGGCCTGAGCCGGCCCGCCTGCAAAGAGGGAGAGGCGGCAGGTGCCGACAGCTGGGGGCCAGGGAATGGCCAGCAATGTGGGTTTGGTTTGGATCTGGCTCTGCCACTTGCCCGCTCTGGGCTGTGAGGCTGCTGCACCTCCCTGACCTCCACTTGCTCATCTGGAAAACGGGAGGATGTGAACCCACCTCACTGGCTGGCTTTAGAACACCGTGGCACATGGTGAGATGCTCAGGAAATGTTGTCATTATTACCTCGAATCCCAAGGCCCTTTCCTCCCCAGGAAGCCGTTCCACTGGCTGCTCTGAGGATGGCCAGGGCAGGACTGGGCAGTGGGGAAAGAGCTCCACGCCAGGACCGAAGCTGTCGGGCAGGAGGTGGGAGGAGTCTGCGGCAGAAGCCCCGCCCCTCACGGCAGCCTCCCACCCTGCTGGAAGGCAGCCAGGCCCCCACCGGGGACAGCTTTCCGATGCCTGGGCTCTGTCATGTGCTGAAGCAGGGGCGCCCCCAGACTCCTCATCCCGGCTGTGGGCCTGCAGATGTCCCTTCCTAATTCTGGCGGAGACTGCAGACTCCAAGCTGCTGGGCTGGGGCCCCGGCTAGGCTGGGGAGGGCCGACTTTTGAAATGAATCACAAGGACAGCCAGGCAGATGGGTCAGGAGTGACTTGGTCCCTGGCATTTAGGGAGCAGAAGGTCAGACCCGGTGAGGCTGCAGCATCCGAGGGGCCCGGGTCTCTGCTCACCCTGCCTGCAAAGGGAGGCGGTCCGGCCAGCCATCTACAGAGGCCCCGCCTTACATGGGAGGCCCCAGGATAGTGTGAGGTGGGGAGAGAATGGGGAAGACGGTGATTGGGGTTTTTTGCTTCTCTTCTAGGCTGGAAGCTAAATCCCGTGGTAGGCGCAGTCTACGGGCCTGAATTCTATGCAGGTACAGGCTGGAGCCCTCATTCTGGGTGTGAAGGGCCGGGGGCGTGGCCAGAGGGCGTGGCCAGGATGGAGGCGTGGTCGTGCAGGTGTGGTTGGGCGGGGCCAGGTGTGGTTGCGCCCCGGCTGGGCCCTTGGGCCTGCCCTCACCCTCTCTGGGCCTTCCCTCTCACCGCCTCTTCTCTGGCCCCCTTTCCTGCAGTGACGGGGTTCCCCTACCCCACCACGGGCACAGCCGTTGCCTACAGGGGCGCGCACCTACGGGGTCGGGGCCGGGCCGTGTATAATACGTTTCGGGCTGCGCCGCCCCCGCCCCCCATCCCAACTTACGGAGCGTGAGTACCTGGGGAGGCACGGGGAGGGAGGCATGGAGAAAGGCCCAGGGGGTGTGGGGAGGGAGGCCTCGGGCAGCCAGAAGGGCTAGGCAGCCTTTCCAGAACTGTGGGGGGCTGTGGGAACCCCCAGACCTTCCCACTGCAGTTGCCCCCATATCGTACCCCAGCCCCACCCTGCCATGGGCACCAAGGGTCACTGGCATTTGGGGGACATTTAGAGCCCCAGCACCTTGCTGGATGATTTAATGGGATTGTGGTTGGCCCTTAAGCTGGGTGAGGGCCTGCTCTAAGCCCTCCCTGGTCCATTACCCTGGGCCCAGTGCCCTCCGCCCCTATGGGGGGGACAGCTGCCTGGGCTGGGGTGGGGGGAGGGTAAGCACCATGGGCCGAGGGGCCCCTGGCTTTGTGGGAGAAAGGAGCTGACCAGCAAGGGTGTTACTCTATTGTTATACCAAAACAGGGCGCTGGAGCAAACGCTTGTTAAAATGCCAGTCCCATGGGCAGGGCTGGCACCCTGCCCCCTCCCTCCTCAGCAGACACCGGAGCCGGCCTACCCCACCTCTCCAGCGTTCCCACCACTCTCTTGTCCGTTTGCTTCCAGGGTCGTGTATCAGGATGGCTTTTATGGTGCTGAGATTTATGTAAGTGCAGCCCCCTGGCGGGGGGGTGGGTGTGGTCCAGGCCTCAGCTGATTTCCAGGGTCTTCCCCTCCCGGCCCCCCTCCCTCACCCATCCCTCCCTATCCTTGGGACCTGGGAGGGTGAACGTGCGCAGGACACTGGGTCCTTGGGGACCTTGGCATAGCTGAGCCTGGGCTGTCTGTGCCCACGTCTTCTCCAGTCCACAGGACGCTGGGTGATGGGGGCAGGAGGGGCGACTCTCCTGTATCCCTAACACATTGGGGTCACTGAGTGAGCCCCCATGGGCACCCATGTCTAGTACAGAGACCTGGAGAGAGACCAGGAGGCAGGGGCTCCAGGGTGGACCCCATGGTGAGGTCCTCTGGCGTCTCTCTCCCTTCACGGGGCTGCCCCTACTGCTTCCTCTCGCCCGGAGCCCCAGCTGACGACCCCACCTCACACACAAACCCAGCCCAACATGAGACCTTGCTTCTGTCCTGGGCAGTTGCCCATAGTTCAACAGTCCCTTTGTGCCGGGGCCAAGACATGACCTGAGTTTGCCCTTGACCCTTCCCAGTATCCGGGATGGCCCCCAGAGTCACCCATGGGTTCTTGGCACCCACTGGCATCAAAGTCAGGGGCTCACTGGGCTGGTGCCAGGTCTGTGGGCACTGATCATGTGCCAAAGCCATGAGCACAGTCAGACGTATCATCGGTGCCCACGGATGGGTGTTGAAGGTGTGCTCCCTGCCCCCGCCTCGAGCCATGCCCCTGACCGTCTGCGGCCCTTAGACCTCAAGCTAGGTGCCCCCAGGCCTGCACCAGCCAGTGCTCACCCGGCCACGGTGAAGGCTGAAAGGCTGTGTTGGCCCTACTAAGTCCCTGTGCTGTCTCTCCCTCCCCCTTCCCCTGCAGGGGGGCTACGCAGCCTACAGATACGCTCAGCCTGCGGCAGCCGCGGCAGCCTACAGCGACAGGTATGGGGCAGGGTCGGGGTGAAGAGGGCCAGTGGGACAACAGGGCCCCTGGAGGGGTGGGCTCAGATAGAGGGGGAGACTTACCCGCGGCTCAGGCCTGGGGGAGCCTCCTCCTGGTGGCGCAGGCCTGGACAGGACAGAGAGCGCTGAGCCAGCGAGCCCCCGATTTCTTTAGTCACTTGCTGCTGGCCTGGCTGGGGGGCCGTGCCACCCCCCACCGTTCAGTTCTCCTCTGATTCCCAGCCCTGGAGGCCTGAGCCCTCCCTGAGCGCTGGAGGCCCCGGGTGAGCAGGGGAGTTCGGAGGCTCTGCTTCTGCCCCTGGGCGCCCCTGGGACCCCGCTCAGGGCTGCGGGTCTGAGACCCCTTCACGCTGAGGAGAGGCTGTGAGTGCACCCTCCTGGTGGGGGGGTGTGAGGACACCAGGCGGCAGTGTGGCCGTTGGAGAGCAGCCAGCCTCCTGCCCAGCTTTGAGCCCACGCAGAGGATGGCGGGAGGCTCTGGGCAGTGAGGGCAGGTCCCCGCGGCTCCCCCCAGGAGTGGCCTGGCCTGGCACATGGGCACAGAGCCCCTGCTTAGGGACGTGTGGGAGTCCCCGCGCCTGGCACTGATGGGCTCTGGCTCCCTCCCGCCCAGCGGCACCCTCAGACCCCTGCCGTCGCATGTGTTGGGGGGGAGTGGGGGTTTGTGGGGTGCACAGCAGGCCCAGCCCTGTGCTACAAGAAGCAGGCATTCCACACACACAATAAGTGGAGAGGACACAGTGCCACTTCCTTCGTGGTGGCCTCCCCGCCTGCCCCCACGGCCTCCCGTCCTGCTCTGAGCCTTTCCGCAGCACTCCGCCCTTGTTCTTCCGGGGGGTCGAGGTTTTCTTCCCTCCAGAGCAGCTCTGTGGGCACTCCTTTTTCCTTCCGTGTGGCCCCTTGTCAGGGTGAGCGGACACTGGGAGAATTGAGAGGGTGGCCAGCTGTGTTCCGGACACTTCCTTCGGGCAGGAAAGACGGGGAGGAGGGTGGGCGGGGGTGGGGGGAGTGGCTGGCAGGCGGGACCACCCTGGAGGACGCTCACCAACTAACTGTCTGGGAGGAGGCAGGAGACCTGTTGCGGCCCCTCACCTGCCCCCATTGCCCCCCCCGACGCCTCCCTCCCTCCCTGTGCTGTCTCCCCAGTTACGGCAGAGTCTATGCAGCCGCTGACCCCTACCACCACACCATCGGCCCCGCGGCGACCTACAGCATCGGAACCATGGTAAGGAGGCAGGGCGGCCTGGCCCTGGGCACCAGCTGTGACGAGGAGGGCCTGGTGCCACAGCCAGGATGGGGTGGGAGGGAGGAGAGTGACCCGGACCCCTGACCAGTGCCCGGAGGGACCAAGGCCTAGATGGAAGCTTGGGGGAGGACTTGCCCCTCGGTGCCCCCGGGGACTTTGAGGGAGGCAGGTCCGCCCGGACGGGCAGCTGCCCAGTAAGGACGTCTGGCCCTCTGGGGAGCAGCCTGGGACGCCCGCTTTGCCCAGTTTTCTGAGGCTCCAGAGGCCAGCAGGGCCTCCGCGCCACTCGTGGGGCTGTGTCCGCCGCGTCCCTTCTGTGTCCTGTCGCCCCTTTCCTCACGTCAGGGAGCGGGACAAGGGCTGCCCGCAGCTTCCCTCCCCCCAGGCCCCTCCGCAGCACCATGGCCCGCTCTCGCCAGCCCCCGCGTACTCCTGGGGGGCCCGCGGCAGCCGGAGGTGTGCGGGCCGGTGTGTCTGTGTGTGTGTGTGTGTGGATGGTCAGCTGTGGACACAGGCAGCCCAGCTTACTCTCTACCCTGAGACCTGCTTCCAGGGGACACCTGTCTCCTGTGCCCACCCACCCCCAGCCCCAGGGGCTGTTCATGTCAGTTTTTAGCTAGCTTGGCGTCCAGCATCAAAGATGAACACATTTTCCCTGGGGGGTGAGGGGCAAGGAGGGAGGAGGCCCAGAGCCAACAGGGACTCATTCATTGTTCCTTCTCACTTGGTTTTGATTACTTCCTCCCGATTTTTGTTTTGACTTTTTTGATTTTTAACAAGTTTCCGGCATCCCCAGCAGGCTGCAGTCACCCAGATGGGGGCCCCAAGAGTGCAGTTTGTGGGCCCCTTGGCTCCAGGGTCAGCTCGGCCCTCTGAGCAGCTGCTGGCTAGAAGCTTTCATTCATTCACAGAGGGGCCCCTCTTATGTTCTCATTTTTATTTGTAAGATTTTCTTTTTTTTTTTTTCCAAGTTTTTTCTGCGGCACTTGCCATCTTTTCTTTTTCTGTTGAAATTGATTGGTGGGGAGGAGGTTCCTCTGGAGACCTCCCTGATCCAGGGCAGCCCAGGGACATGGGAGCAAGGGTGCCAGAGACCTTTCCTCCTCAGCAGGACGGAGGGCCCAGGCAAGGACCTGGGTAAAGAGCAGGGACCCCAGGGGCCCCCTAAAGCTCCGAGGGGCTGGGGTAACCCTGGCAGGAGGTCCCCCCACCCTCCTGGGTCCTGCCCCCCCTCCCTCCCCTGGCAGGCAGCCCCGCTGGGGCCCTGAGACCTCCCCTGCCCCCATTAAGGAGAAAGGGGCCGGGGAAGGGTCAGGCCTGAGCCAAGAGAGTTGCCAAGAGACATCTCCAACCTTATTGTCCAGGAGCGCTGTGGCCCATGACCCCAGCAGCCCCCTGGCCCCCATCGTCCCCCACCACGGAAGGACTAGGCCCAGGGCCCCCTGCTGCCATGAGAACCGGCATCCACTCTCCCCAAGGCAAACCTTAATAAGGGGGGCAAAAAACGGGATTTAGCGACTTCTTTTTGTTTTTCCTTATTTTTTTTTTCTTTTTGCTTTTTCCCCCCTACCGAAAGGCGGTACTGATTGGCTGTTTGTCATCTTTGATGTTGCAGGCTAGCCTCTGCCGAGGAGGGTACAGCCGCTTCACCCCCTACTAGCAAGAGGGCCCAGCCCCTAGCAGCATTCACACTGACTGCCCAGCACACACCAAACCCAGCAGGCCAAAGCCAGGCACAGCCACCAGGAGGACAGTGCGCCCCCCCCAGTCAGCGGCACGCGACGCCAAAGCCCATAGGGTTCACCTCCAGCCAGCTGGTCTCCCTGCCCCTCCCGATGGCGTGTGTGTCTTTGACCCTGGTTACCCCTGTATGTCTGAAACCTTGCTTCCTATTTTGACTTTGTTGACGTTGTGCCCCCAAGCCATTTCAGGTACGGTATGCACACAGCGGGAGGGGCTAGCCTGGGCACAAGACCCCTCCCCGAGAACTAGCAATAGAGCCCGCCAGGGCGACCCCCTCTTCCCACCCCCTGGGGCTCAGGGAGTGAGGAGGAGCCCACAGCCACTGTCCGTCCCCTGGGGCTCAGGGAGTGAGGAGGAGCCCACAGCCACTGTCCGTCCCCTGGGGCTCAGGGAGTGAGGAGGAGCCCCGGTCCACTGGACGCGGGGTTTCCGGCCGAGACGATGCCCCCTCCCCGCCTTCCCCCAGCTGATGGCCGGTGTAGCCGCATCTGCCCTCCTCCCCCCCAAACAGCTGAAACTAACATTCCTGGTTCACGTTTCTTGAGGCTGCTTCCCGCCGAAGCAGTAACAAGCACGGTGCGGGCGGAAACGGCCACGGCCATACGGGCCTCGGGGCTCCCTCCGTAGCCTCTGTTGTAAGCAATGAAAGCGTAGGAAGAAATGCCCCCGCGCACCCCCACCGAAGCCGAGGGCCCCCGGCCTGCCGTGCTCCTTCCAGCAGCGGGCTCTCCCCTCCAGCCAGGCTCCGAGGATGGCACCTCGGCACCGCCTGAGATGGGGTCCCGGCCAACCTGGGCACCCTGCCCCTTCCCCAGGCTTGGAAACGTCCTTTTATCAGGGTACATTTCAGAAGGGGCGAGCAGGGGAGGCACAGGGGGAGGCCCATCGCCGGCCTTCTTGGCGAGACAGCACTCGATGCCAGCCTCCCGTCCGGAGAGGCGTGGTGCTTAGGTCTGCGGCCGAGTGGCCGCACGGTGCCCAGGGCTGCGCTGGGCCCTTGGGGGGGGACATGCTGGCCGGGGTCCCGTAGGGAATGCTGAGACAGCCCAGGTAGCCTCATGGGGTAGGCTGCCCGGTCAGGATGGTGCCCTGCCCCCTCCGTTGCAGGAGGAGGTGTCTCGGGCCAGGGAAGCCCAGGTCCCCTAGGGTGCCAGAGCTGGGCTGTGGGTGCCCGCTAGAGGGTGTGAGTCCCCCACCAGCCAGGACACACCGGCTCTCAGCTGCTGGACCGGGCGGATCATGGCCTGGGTGCCGGCCCCTCACTTCCCACCTCCGGGAGCACCGCCTCCTTGCTGCCTGGCTCAAGGCCCCTCGTGGCCTGTGCCGTGCCGTCCATCCACCATGCCCCCCGTCTTCCGTCCGCCCAGAGCCAGCCAGGCCCCTGCCCTGCTCAGCTCTAGCAGAGCCCACAGGCTGCGCCCCCCAGCCCACTTCCTGTGGTTTCTGCTCCTGCCCCCCCTTCTTCGCCCCTCCCCCGCCACCGGCCCCCACGCTCTGCCCCGGAGGAGGAGGCCGGCTTTCGGTTCAGCTCATGCAGGACCACCAGTTCCCAGAAGCTGGGCCTGGGGGACAGGCCGGGTGGGGGGCTAGGACTTCAGGGCGGCCTGGGGCCCCGGCACCTCCCTCCCCACCCGGCGCCCCGTCCGTCCTCACAACACGCCTGCAGTTGCTTCGGTGAAACTGCAAGTCCTGCCTTTCTGTTTCTGTTGTAGTGAAAGCTTCCACCGTTTCCTTCTTGGACCATGAAGGGCAAAAACAAAAAACAAAAAAACAAAAAAAAAAATCACAAAACAAAAAAAACAAAAAAAGATGTTAAGATCCAAGCAACAACAAAAAACAAAACAACCAAACCAAGAAGCATCCAGCACGTCCAGGTCGCGCGCGGTGCCGCACTCCACTGCGAGGGAGCACGTCCACGGGGCGCCGAGCCCAGGAGAGCCCCGGGCCCTCGCCCCTCCCCGGCCACCGTGCTGGCCGAAGTGCCCCTCCCGAGGCCGGCGGGGAGCGCAGGAGGGGAAGGGGCCTCTTCTCTACCAAGTCTTCCTTTCCAGCCCCCCACTCCCGGGGCGCGCGGGGCCCAGCGGAGGAACAGGCCGCAGGCCTGAGTGGGGAGAACAGCCAGCAGGACTTGACCTTTGCTGCCAACTGTGCCAGTGGAGGGGACAGCTGGGCTGGGGTGGGTGTGGGGGGGGCAGCTCTTCATTCCCGGGGTCTCTGGCTTCGGCCCGTGCCCGTCACCCTCGTGTCCGGCTGTCTGGGCCCCAGCTCCCCCTCGTGCCATGCCGCCAACACCATGTTCTGCAAGCCTGGGGAGGGAGTTTGCAGGCCTCCAGAGTCCGTCCGACCCGCAGCCCTGGGGTCTGACCCCAACATCAAGGGCTGATGCACTTCCAGAACTGTGGGGCGCCCAGGCCCCCCTTGCTCCACGTGAGGGGGCTCCTGGGCAGCCTGGCCAGGATCACACCGTGAACCTAAGAGCTAGCATCAGCAGGGTGGAGGCCTTGGGGCTGAGGATGCGCTCTGGCCCCGGCCAGCCTGTTTCCTGTTCCCTGGCTGGAGGCAGGCCTGGGCCTGGTCAGTGGGAGGGAAGGCCGACCTCCTGCCACCTGCGGGGCCGGGCCCTCCCCATCCCTGTCCTGCAGAGGGCTGGGCAGGCCAGCGCCTGGCTGCACGGCGAGGTCAGAAGTCACGGTGCCACGGGGCTGGACGGCCAGGCCCGAGCAGGGAGAGCGAGCGGGGGGAAAGGCCTGGAGCGGCGCCCAGGACCCGAGTCAGGTCCCGCCGGGGTGGTGGGAGAGCAGAGGTAGGCAGCAGGGAGGAGCCCCCCGCCAGGCAGGGATCGCTGGAGTAGGGCAAGCAGCAAAAAATAAGACATAGGCTCCCAACACGGCTCCACTGTCTCATGAAATTTAAAAAGTAAAAAAAAAAAAAAAAAAAAAAAAATACACCTCACTTTATATATTCAGCATCAGCTCCTGAAGCTCCTGAAATGAGCCCCTTTTCTATTCCTGTTGTACAGCGCCCCGCCCGCCGGCCCCTCCTGTCCAGAGCCCCCTGCTGCTCCAGACCCTTTTCTTGCGGCAGCTCCGCCCCCGGCCCCGCCCTCCCAGCCCCCCCCAGGACTGCAGCCAAGCCCCAGGCTTCCTTTCTTACCATTCTGTATGCTTCCAAGGTGTGCCCATTCAAATCAACAGTATTATTATTAAGATTATTAATAAAGATTTCTTTCTTCAAGCCAGGACAACTCTTTTTGCTTTGGCAGCCCCCGGGGCCCTGAGGGCGGAGGGCGGAGGGCGGGCCCGGGCCCCGCAGCCTGTCCCAGGACCCAGCCGGCCTTCCGCGGGGTGCCCCGTGGGGAGTCCGAAGACCCTTCTGGGCAAGAGAAGCCAGAGCCCCAGCCCTGCAGACTCCTTTCCCCAGCCTGACCCAGAACAAGCCGCCTCGCCCTGCCCGCGGGGCGCCAAGGCTTGTGGAGTTCACCAGCGGCTTCCAGGGTGCACGGCCGCCCTGGCCCCCTCCCAGCTGAGCGGCCGCCCAGCAGCTGTGGCCTGCCGCGTGCAGGCAGAGAGGGGACAGGGCTGGGGGTGTCCCAGAGGGGGCCCCCAGACCCCAGCCACACCCGGGCACTGCCCCGTGATGTGGGTCGGGCGGAGCCCTGGCCCCTTGCGGGGGTGGGGGCACTGCTTCAAAGTAAGCCCACGGGCGCGGGTCCCCATCCCTGCACGGCTGCGGTGGGGGGCGGCCGGCCCCTCGGGAGGGAGCGGAACCGGGAAGGAAAGCCGAAGTCAAGCCGAGAGCTTCAAAGCCCTGGGCTTCGGGGGCCTGGGCCGGGCCCACGGTCACAGCGCGTCCACGCCGCCGCCCATCGACTCAAGCTCTTCATGTTTCACGCCGGATCACTTATTTCAGGGCGATTACACCCACCAGAGGCGCGCAGGCTTAAATGCCAACATACTCATCCTCCTGCCCATGAGCCTCTACTCGCCGTGGGACGGGGACGGTGCTCTCGGGGAGCTGGGGGTGGGCGGCCCCGCCGCACACCACGCTCTGCTAAGCCCCTCACCTCTCATCGCCTGCTCACCAGACTGTAAGAAAATAATTGCCACTTATAAATTTTTCCCTCCTCTGCATAAACTGGGGGCACAGACACTTAAAGCCAACAGGCTTCGAGGTGGAGAGCAGCCCACGTCCGGGCACCCTGCCCCGCCCGCCTCCCGCCTCTGGGGACACAGGGAGCAAGGCCAGATCCCCTAGTACAAAACAGGAGGCTCAAAGCAAACCAACGGTCCAAACCGAGAACACGGTGATGGAGCAGCTCCAAGCGGCAGCGACTCAGGTGCCCCCAGCCCCAGTCTACCGAGCCGTCCAGGTTCACGGGGACAGTCAGGGGTGCCGGGTGACCTGCGCTTCCCAGCTAGGCAGCAGAGGCATCCTCCTGTCCTGCTTGAGCGATCTCCCCCTCTGCTGGGCAAACGCATTCCCCACTGGGGCGCGAGCTGGCTAGGCCACGTGCGGGACACGGAGTAAAATGTCCCTCTGTCCCCCTGTGAAAGAGCCACTCGGGCCAGGGGGATGGAGATGGAGGCAGCCCTGGAGGGACACGCCCCTGGCTGTCCTGCGGGCCAGGTTTTCCCAGGCCACCTGACCGCACTCTGATTCCCGAATTCTGGCCAGCCAGCCAGAGGCAGGTTGGCTGCACTGCCCCCTGGTGGCCTCTCCCCTCCCCACAGCGTACAACCAAGTCCGCGGCCGGGGCTTGCACCCGAGGCCGTAGGTGGGACCCCCAGCTGGGAGGGTCTTGGCCCTTGGCCCCACTCCACACCACATAGCACAGGTGGAGGGCAGAGAAATGGGCAAGTGGCCCCATCGATGGCCCTACGAGACCCCCCAGAACGAGGGACACGGCTCAGGCCCAGGAGGGGAGCTGGGCAACGCGGCAGATACCCAAGGCTGCGGAGTGCAGAGAGCCCAGCCCCAGGAGGCCAGCACGGTGGCCCAGGGGTCAACAGGGGAGCTGTGTGGCGGGAGGAGCCGTCTCCGGCTCCCTCACCCCCTCCCCTCCTCCCTGCGCAGAGCCTCTGGCCAGCCTCAGCACAGGCAGAGGGAAGGAAGGTGCTAGACGACAGAGAGGGAGGCAAGAGAGGAAGGGGGCCCAATGGAGAGGGTCCTCAAAGCACCTCTGCTAGCACTCGGGCCTTAGCCCCCCGCCCTGGAGAGGCTGAGGCGGGAGGACGTGAAGGAACGACAGCCAGAGCTCCCACGGCAAGGCTGGGCCTGGCTGCAGCCGGGGGCCTCCCAGGGCCCTGGCCGGCCTCCCGCTCGCGGAGCCTGGGCAGCCTCGCTCAGCAGGCAGCGGCTCAGTCTGGCTCCACACAACTTCGCCAGTACCGACAGCCCGGAAGAGACCCAGCAGGGCACGGGCCGATGGGAAGGCTCCACAAACGGCCGCACTCACAGGACAGGAGACCGGGACAGCCAGCCACGACACGGGAAGGGCTGGGCTAGGGCGGCCCACCTGGCCCGGGGCGAGGCGCACCCTGGCGCCGGCCTGGCCCTAGGCTCCCAGCCCCCAGGGCACCCTGTCCCAGCACCCTGCAGCCCCCGCCACCCTCAGCCGGGAATCGCCCCCAGGGCCTGCTCGGAGGCTTCCTGTCCCCTTTAAGCCTGTTGAGCATCAGCGTCTCTCGGCCTATTAGGGAACACCCTTCGTGCAGTTTATGGGACTAGCTTTCCCAAATGCTGTCACTCGTACCTGGGAATCTGTAGTCTGGACAGGGATTAGGCAGAACAGAGTTCATCAACCTCAGGAAATTATCAGCCCAGCAAAGGGACTTCTTGGTTTTCCCGTTACCAGCCTCCACCACACAACAGCCCCAGCCCGTGGGCTCCTGGCGCCCGTGGGCTTCCGCACACCGTGAGCCGCCCCGGCGCAGAAGCAGCTGAGCCTCGAGGGGGGAGATGCCGTGCTTTAATGCTGGCTCACGTGCGGGGCGTGGAGTAGAGCAGGGCCGCCCTGCCCCACTGGGCCTGCGGCACCAGAAACCCCTCCTTGGGGACGGGCTCCACCAGGAACTCCACACGCCCGTCCCCGCTGGGCCCCGCGGCCGCCACCAGCAGGTCCGCTATCCGATACTGGTTGACAAAGGCCAGGCCCAGGAGCGCGGGCTTCTCTGGCCCCGGCGGCCCCCCGCCAGGAGGGCCACCGCCAGTCCCTGTGCGGCAGCGGATCCGGAAGCATCGGACGGGAGAGAGGACGTAGGACCAGTGCAGAGTGCAGCTGAGTCGCAGCGGGGCAGGGGGGCCCTCCTCCTCGGACGTGGCCCGCTGCCAGCGCACGCGGGACACAGTGACGGCCCGCACCCGGGGCAGCGGGGCGAGCAGGCTCTTGGCGTCCACCACCTGGCAGAAGAGAGAAGGCTCGCCATGGTCCCAGAGCCCACGGGAGGCCCAGGGTGCCTGCCCCCGCACGGTCCCGCTCCCCAGCACCCCCACCCCACTGGCCCTCTGAGCGGAGGGAACATTCTGCCTCCCGTGCCCGGACGCTCACCTGGAGCTCCCCGAGACGGCAGACAAAGCTCGCCTCCTCCAGGCTGCCAGGGGGCCGGGCGAAGCTAACGAAGAGGTCTTGCAGGAGGCAGCCCCACAGGCTCACCTCGTAGCATCTGGGGGAGGCAACGGGGGCCGGTCACAGGAGCCCACCTCCGCTCGGCACCTTCGAGGCTGGCTGCTCAGAGGCCCCGAGCCGTGGTGGGAAAGGAGGTCCACCCCAAAGTGGACCCTGTGGCCGGTGGGAAACCCCAGACCTAAGGCACGGCCATGACCGCTCCCAGCGGCCTCCTGGGTTTGTGTCCCCGGGGCTGCCTGAATCCTGGGGGGTCGGCCAGGGCCCCTCCAATCCCTCCAGTTCTGGGGCTTCTCACCCAAGACCCCCTCACTCAAGCCCCCCGCCCCCCCCACGTGGCCATCCCCTGGAGACCCCACAGGAAGTAAAGGCACTCACCGCTGGACCCAGCCCCCCTGGAGCTGCTGGCCGCAGTGGCCCACCCATCTGGCCAGCTTGGTGGGGGGCACCCGGAGGGGTCGGGGACTGTGCCTGGCGCTTGTTCCTGCTGGGGGAGGAGACCCGGGACTTGAGAATGCAGAGAGCCCAAAGGAAACCACACAGGGAGGTGTCCACTGAACAGGGGGGGAAGGAACCCCAAAGACCATTAGACTCCCTGTGGAGCCAGGCACTCATGGCCGGGCCAAACAGGCTGAGGCCTTGCCAGGAGCCCCCCAGGCCCCCACAGATGTCCCCCCCTCAATGCTGCGGCTGGCAGGCGGCATTTCCCCAAGTCTCTGGCACGGGGACCCGGTCCCGCACAGCACACCGTGCTGCCCGGTGGGGGCTGCGGGCCCGAGGCTTCAGCTGGCGGGTGGGTCTCCCTGTGCGGGCCTGGCCCACAGCAGCACGGACGACAGCACCTGTCCTCTGCCCCCCCAGCTCCCCCACAGCCAGTGCACTTTCTAGACTCCTCTTCCCTGGGGCGTCCCCTGAAGCAGAGGGCGCCTGCAGGAGGCTGGAGCCCTACGCCCTCACCATTCAGTGTCCGGATGCCACCAACGTGGCAGCTGCCCGCGTCCCCTGTGGTGAGCTCCAATGCCACCTCGACGCCCGAAGGCCCTTCTAGCTTATACACCAAGGACAGGAAAATTTTGGGAGGCACGGGGACCTGCAGAGAGAATAACCTGCCGGAGGAGGACCTGGGATGAGCGGCCACACAGGAGCTGCTGAGACGCCCCCGCGGGCTCTGGGTCACACCTTCCAAGCTCGCCCGCCAGGAACAGGGTGTCCGGCAGCACGGGGCGGGGGGGGGCGGGGGGGGGGCGCACTCTGGTCCCGCCTGCGACCCTCCCATGACTGAAAAATCTCGGTCGGGAAATTCTACAGGTCTCCACTTACAAGAGGTATCAGAAGCCGTCGGACCACAGAGACAGCAGTGTGGTGGCTGGGGGGGGGGAGGGATGGGAGCTGTTCTGTGGGGACAGGTGAGAACGTTCTAGAAACCGGTGGCACAATGACGGGCAGATAGTTAATGCTACTGAACCGCACGCTCAAAAATGCTTGAGACGGTAAATTGCAGGTTATGTGCTTTTTACCACAAAAGAACCCCCTCGGTTCTGTCCTCCGTCCTCCTCCCGGCCGCTGCTGCCCGCCTGTGAGGGATGGACAGGGGCGAGGGGAAGCGGACGATCCCACAGATGTCTCCCCCACTCATTCCCCTACCTCACGGCCACATGTCCGACGTCGGGCGGAATCAGCCCGCGGACAAGCAGGGAGCTGCCCCCGTTCCAGGCGTCCGCCAGGCAGCAGCGTGTCTTCACCCAGCCCCGCCCGGCCCCTTCCAAACTGTGCTCTGCAAACAGGGGCTGGATTTCCTGGGCACTTGGGTGGTACCAGGGCCCTACCGCCTCCTCCTGGAGGACAAGGCCACACGAGGGAGGGCTGGGGAGCGCCAGGGGCCGGGGGAGCAGCGCGGCCGCCATCCCTCCCACGCCCCGACCCCCCACCTCTCCCAGGTGAGACCAAAGGCTGAGGGGGGGGCAGCCCCTGTGCCGTGACGCAGCCCCACCGGGAAGCCCACGCACCTGGCCGTAGCACACTCTCCGCGTCCCCATGCCCAGGCAGAAAGAAGTGACAAAGGGCAAAGAACAGATGCTGTGTGTGGGCAGGAAGTGTTCCAGCAAAGCCCAGAACCTGCGGGGAAATGGGCAGGGGGATCCTGAACTCACTCTTTGCAACTCGAGGCCCCTGCATCCCTCCCAGAGTGAGCGCGGCTACCCCACTGAATGTGTGGGAGATGCGGGTCTGCGGGGGTGGTCCCCTGGGGTCCCCAACCTCCGTCCTTCCTGTTTAACAGGTCGCCGGGGCCCTCCCGCCTGGAAGCAGCCAAGATGGCTGGCTTCTCTCGAGCTGAGCCCCTCATCCCCGCCCTACGTGCCCTGGAAAGGTCCGTGGACAGCAAGGCCTGAACTACCTTGGGAAACCAGAGAAATTGCCAGAGCCCCCATCCGGCCAACACGAAGCCCCTGCCTGGGACGGGCAGAACTCACTTGTCCTGGTTCTGGAAGAAATCCTTCTTCTCCAAACACTCATACACCCAGCCAGGGGCGAAGAGGGCCGCCGAGAATCCGTGCTTCCGGATCAGCTCCAGCGACTGGGGAGACAGCAGTCGGGGGGAAGCGGAGCCTGGCTGGCAAGGCCTCCCTCCCTCCCAGCTCCGAGGGCGGCTGCAACCCCAGTAGCCCCTCAGCACGGAGCCATGGGAAGAAAGGCTGTGAGCGGGCCGGGGCCTCGCGGGGGGGCTCACAGCCTGCATGTGCCTCTCCCTCGCTGTACCCCTCACGTTATCAGACTCACAGCGGGTGGAGAGAATCTTCAGTTATGGGATTAATTTATTCACTTAGAGCTTAATTAATGAGCAAGAGCATCCCCGTGGCACCGGGGAAGGGGCAGGGCCGACGGCCCAGGAGACAAGCGGACTCCCTACTTATCCTGCACCAGGTGCATCGGCCCCGGCAAGCCCCTGTCTCTCCTCACAGCTGACATGACTTGCCTTGCCAGAAAAAATCTCCCTCATTATTAAACCAGCAATTCCCCAAACTGGCTGTTTTACCAGGTCCTCAGCCCTGAGCGGCCTGGGAACAGACGCATTGCCAGAGCTCCCCAAGCCCACCCAATGCTTTAAACCGCCCGCTCGGTGCCCGTCAGCGCCTGACTGCAGCAACGGGATGGAAGTTAGGGTTTCGGGGCACAGCCCGGCCTTGGGGCGTCACCCATGTGTCTCGGGCCTCAGCTTCCCCACTCTGAGAACAATGTTGCCTCTCTTTCCCTTGAGTGCAGATGGGAATGGAAGGTCCACGAGAAAACCAGGCCACGGAAGGCACGCAGGCCACCGCCCCCAGCTCCCGGGCCGCCGCGCACCTTGTACGTGTCGAACTGGCCTCCCACGACGTTGCCCCGGGCGAACACGTCCACTCCCACGTACACGTCGGCTCGGCGCTCCCCGGCCTGCCCCAGCATCCGCTCCAGGTGCTCCTCCCGCCAGTTATAGTTGGTGAAGAAGCCATCACAGGAGTCGAAGAAGATCCTGCGAGGCGGCGAGGACGGGCCATGAGGCCTAGACGCAGAGGCCCGGGGGCTGCCCACCCTGGACGTCCTCCTCCTTCCCCTTGAGCCACTCGCCTCCATCCTAAGCCCCGGACGGGCTGCCTCCAGGACCAGACCACAGCCTGCTCCGGACAGCAGGGGCCCAGCCGGGAGCACTCGGCCTGCAGCCCTCGGCATAGCGCGCCGGTCCTCCCCGCCGGTGGCCGGTGTCTCCGACCCTGCCCCGCCCGCTCCGCCCAGAGGGCCACCCTCACCGGTTGTGCTGGTTGAGCTCGTCCTGCCACGTGAGCTGCCCACTCCTCACCACGCTGTCGTACCACAGCACCAAGCCCCCCGGCACCTGCTGATGCAGCTGTGTGGTCAGGTGGCGGAGGAAGTGGGGCATGTTCCCCACTGCGGCCAGCTGGAGAGGGAGACAGCAGACCCTCGGTGAGGCCCAGCGAGGTCTGCCGTCAGAAGAGCCCAGGGCAGGACAGACAGGAGGAAGCTTAACCTCCGAAGCAAACACAGACTCCAAAAAAGCCACGATCCCTGGAGCCCCCCGAACCCCACAGCCACCGAGGGGAGGGTCCAGCCGGATGTCTCCCACTGTCCTTCCTTTCTTTTTTTTTTCTTTAAAGATTTTATTTACTTTTGAGAGAGAATCCAAGCAGTTTCCCTGCTGAGCACAGAGCCCGACACGGGGCTCGATCCTATGACCCTGAGATCATGACCTGAGCCAAAATCAAGAGTCGGACGTTCAACCCACTGAGCCCCCCAGAGGCCCCAACTGTCCTTCCTTTCTGAAGCAGGAAGGACACGGGCGCAGCAATGAAGAAACGATAAAACACCATGAAAGGGGAGGATGGTGCCAAGGGAAGCCACACGAGCAGCCCAAGCAAAGCGGACGGAGGAGGAGGAAAGGGGCGCCTTGAAGGAGCAGCAAGGCAAAGCTCAGGCAACCAAGGTTCCTGGACACGGCGCCGGAGAAGATTCTGTCTCTCGGCGAAGTGACGCAGGTGTCTGGGCTGGCTCGAACCGGCCACGGTGAGCCGAGAAAAGTGACAGAGGGACAGCGCGCGGTGACTGGGCTGGGCAAGCACCAGGAGAAGGCTGTGCTCACACTCAGAGAGTTCTCGATGTTGATCAGCCAGCCATCAAAACGGAAAAACTGGGCGATGAGGACCAGCTGATCAGCCACGGCCCGGTATGAGCGCTCGTCCCCGGCCAGAAAGGCTTCACAGAGCTGCCCACCTTCTTTCCACTCGGTGATGAAAGTCCCTGCCAGGACGGAGAGAAACGAGGTCAGGCGAACCCAGCAGTTAGCAAAGTGTGGTTCCTGCGACAGCACCGTAGCCGGGCCTGCAAGCTGCTTACACGTTCACATGCTCGGCCGCCCCGGGTCTCTGCGGAGTCAAACGCCCCGCAGGCCGAGCCCAGCAATCAGTGCTAAACAGGCCAATAAATGATTCAGGTGCGGGGGAAGAAAGCTTGAGAAGCAACCACTGCACCCACGGACCGGCCACCTGTGGCCCATGGGCCACGTCCACCCACCACCTATTTCATAAACACAGCCCATCTGTTGGCCTCTTGTTTATGGCTGCATTGTCTTCTTTATGACAGTGACCAGGTGGCCTGGTCCCTTCCAGAAGTTTGCCTTCACCTGTCCTAACCTATCAAGGCAGCCCCAGGTGAGGAGCCCTACTCCCTCAGAAGCAGACAAAGGCCTTTTTGTCACCGGGTCACCTGGCAGGTGTGCCCACGAGTGGGTGGGAAGCGAGCCCCGGGGTCTCACCCAGCACGCAGACCCCATGCCGATGTGCAGCATTGGTCCAGCCCACGGGGGGGATAGTCACGGTGCGGTGGCTGAAGTACACAAAGATGTCGATGGACTGCCAGTGGTAGAAACAGTAGGGGGTGTGCGCCGTGGAGCCCTGAATAAACCTGCGCGAGACACAGAGCAGTCGGGACCCAGGACACGGGGACCCCGGTGAAGCTTCTCTTCAGTCCTGGCTGGCGACACAAACGGAAGCTCACTACGCACTCGGCGCGGCATAGACACCGGGTGGAGCTAGAAGCAGGACTGCACCTTGGCCCTGAGATCAAGAAGTCTTAAGGGAAACATCTTCCCCAAGCGGGGCAGGCGGTCACCACTGGACCCGACGGCTGAGCGGCTGAGCATTGGCAGCCTCAACAGACAAAGACAAGGGCGCCTGGGTGGCTCAGTTGGTTAAGCGACTGCCTTCGGCTCAGGTCATGATCCTGGAGTCCCGGGATTGAGTCCCTCAGCGGGGGGCCTGCTTCTCCCTCTGACCCTCCTCCCTCTCATGCTCTCTGTCTCTCATTCTCTCTCTCTCAAATAAATAAATAAAATCTTTAAAAAAAAAAAAAAAAAAAACAGACAAAGACAGGAGAAAAGCGAAGGGGCAGGGCTCATGCAAAAACTCCAGGTGCCTGGTGTCCCCGCACTGTCCCCTGAGCAGTTTCTCCAGGACCGTCTCGTGCACGTAAGGCTCGGCTGATAACCACGAGCTGCACCCGAGATGTCGCCACCTGCCTCTGCCTGCCCTTTGGGAGACCGGTTCCAACTAAACCGTCCCTTCTATCATCCCATCCAAGACTGTTCTTTGGGCGTTTAATACGTCTGAGCGGACCCCGCAGCCACTCTGGAGGAAGTGTCCCCTGGCTGGGAGGGACACGGGAGTGTCACAGCTGGGCATCTGGAGCCGATGGGCCGAGGATGGAGTCAGAGCTGAAGGGGTCGGGTGAGGACCACAGCTCTGGGCCCAGGATTGTGAAGGGGGTGCCTGCTGCCGCACCCGCCCCGCCTAGCAGATTTCAAGGGCATGCAGTCCCCGGAAGCAAATGGTGTCAGGGCTGCCCGAGGCCCCAGCTTTCACCTGACCCATGTCCTCTTACAGGGCAGTCTGGTCCAGAGGCTCGTCTCCACCTCAGGGCTCTCTGCCACACGGCTCTCACTCTCCCTGCCTTCTTCCCCTCCATCCCCATCCCAGGCAAGGAAAACAGGCAGCAGAATTAACATCGGGCCATGTCCTCGCGAAGCCTCACTTGTCATCCAGATAGCCGCCCATCATGTCATGGCACAGCAAGGTCCGGGGCCTCTGGCTGCTCAGCGGGGGCTGCCGACACTCGGAGGACTCCAAGGCCACATTGAAGCTGTCCTCCATGCCGGGCGTCCATGCCAAGAGTTCCTCCAGCGAAGAGAAGTAAAAACTGATGGGTTTGGTGGTGTCCTTGTCATAATATCTAGCTGGTCAGAGGAGGAAACAATGAGGAACCGATGGAAAGTATGGGATCCCCAGAGATGCTCTGACCATAACTGAGAGAGAAAAACTAGACCAGGAAGCGGCGGGCCTTCCCCAAAGCCCCAGGAGTGAACACGGAGACAGCGTTCAGAGCCTCAGTCCGTCTCACCTGGCAAAGGATCCGGGGTAAAACTGACCACTTCATGAAAGACAGCTTCTTCTTGCTCCTCCTCAATTCTAAGCAGTGAGGGAGTTAAAAAAAAAAAATTTTTTTTTTCAAGTAAAAGCATGAAGAAAAAGAACACTGACAAGCAAAAGGACTAGGCCCCATCTAGACACGTGGAGGAGGGGGTGCTATTCTTGGACTTACATTTTGAAAGCAAACTATGGAAATACACATCAAACCAGAGGGACTAGTGGGCGCTGATCTGCCTATAGCAGCCAGTGTTAGGATCATGGCTGGCCCTCCGCCTGGACACACAATGGCTCCTCCTCTCCTCTAAATACAACTGGGCCCCGTACCAGCCCTCCAGATGTCACCCTGCAGAGACCAAAGTCAGACTTCACATGGTCCACAGGTTCTGCTGTGGCAAAGGGGCCAGAAAACTCACAGAACTAGAGAGTTTCGGGGCCTAAGAGAGCAGGGCCAGGCTTTCTCCCTGGTCCACGTTTCCGTGGATGTGTTCCGTGGAACCCACGCTAACTCCCCAGCTGTCGTGGAGGATTCTAACCTTTGGCACACAGAGTTGGAAAATCCTGGATAAATCCAAATTAGCTTTCTTTTAAAAACAATTATTATCATTAGAACGTGAGAAGACACTGCAGCTGCCGTTTATTGGCCACGGGCTTAAAAGTGGAAATTCTCTAAATCTCCCCACATCCACGGCCACTTCCTCATAACTTTCCTAGGGGACCTTGAAACTACCTGGGTGGGTGGAGGGGATGAGCCATTCAAGTCTCATGAAAGCGCAAGTACTACGGAAAATGCTTCCTTTAGAATTTCGTTCTGCACCCTGCGCTTCCCCCTTCCTTCATGATTTCTCTATCCTTCAGCTCCCCGTGCCCCAGCACCTATGAGAACACCGTCAGTAGGTACCAGACAACCTTTGCCACCTGTTATTCCTCCCTCAGGAGGGAGCGAGCCATCTCAACATTCTCATCCAAAAGCAAACATCTTCCCCACCAGCCGGCAGCCACTCCTTTGCCATCCCTGTCCAGTCTGAAACACCCCTGGTCTCACTCTTCGGGGTTTAAAACAAAGCTAGGGATGCTGTTTCCAAGAAGGCCATAGCGGTGCTGCTAACTTCCCCGCAGGTGCGCAAATGCCCCTACAAGGAACCAAGCATGGGCTCAGAAGGACGCGTCCACCCCTTTCGTGCCTCTGAGCCTTTGCCCACTCCGTTCCTTCGACTAGAACACCCTTCCTCCCGTTCGCCACATGCTCCCTAAAGACCCAGTTCAGATGTCCCCCTCCAGGCACGACCCCCTTCCGGTCCTGCAAGGGCACCAATGCCACCAGCCGGCCCCCTCCGCGTGGACCCGCGGCCGGCGGCGGAGGGCATCACCACCCCGTCTCACGGGCGAGGACGCTGAGGCTCCCGGCCCACCTCCTCCGCGGTCGCCGCCGCCCCGGCCGCCGCTCCCGCTGCTCCTCCGGGATTTGGGGCGCCCTCTTACGCGCCGCCGCCCTGGTCACCGGCCCAGCCGCCTCCATCACGGTGCCGCTCCCTCCGCCGCCGCCGGCCAATCGCAGGCCTGAACCCGTCCCCGCCTCCGGCCGCCGGCCAATCACAGGCTCGGGCCCGCCCCCACCCAATGGAGGGACTGCGCGGCACGGCTGCCCCGCCCTGTCCGGTCGCGCGGACTCCCAGCCCGCACTCCGGGCTCCGCGGCGGTGGCGGGGACTTTGTAGTCGGAGGAAGGCCTGGGGGCGGGGCCGCGGCGGGGGCGGGGCCGCGGCGGGGGCGGGGCCGCGGCTGCGCGGGCGCCCTGGGTTCAGAAGCTCTGTGTGTCCGTCTCCAGCAGCCCGCTTTTGGAGAAGAGCAATGTCCCGAAGGTTACAAAGTCGGTAAGCTGTAGCAGTTAGATCTGAGCTCGGTTCCTATTCCAAGATAATTCCAAGATATTTTCCAAGATAATTTTCCTATTCCAAGATAATTTTCAGGAAAAGATGTAATCCTAATTCTCATTCGGATGTAAATACGGACAAGAGATAAAGACTTATTCTACTCCTTAATCAGCGAAGCTATCAGACGGATGTTAGAACCGGTTCAAAGATAATAGAAAAGGAGACCTATTTATAGATGAGGAGCATTGAAATGAATATCTAAGTTGAGGCAAAACTAGCTTTTCTGCAGGGTGGGGGTGGGGAGATCACTGAACCCCTAGAGAGACCATCTGCACGCGGTAGAAGAGACAGAGTCTGGAGTCACCTAACAGCAGAAAGGACGTATGGTAGACGATGCATCGTGTTCCACTGAGGCACGGATTTTTTTTTTCTACACCCCAAGTCTGTGCTGTGCAGTAACTGCAGAGTCCCCAGGCTCACAGGGCCTGAAGGCATCTCACAGATGGCCCGGTTCCCAGCACCTGGGTACAGTTCACAGTAAATGTGGAGGAAGGGGGCCTGAGCAGGGAAGAGAAGTGTAGCTGGGGCCCAATGGTGCATGAGCACCTGGCTCCCGGGGTCCCAAACAGACCAGGCTTGGCCTCTCGCCGTTGGCAAAATCCAAAGGCAGAGCCAGGAGTGGTGGGGAAACGAGAAAGGAATTTATTTCGGTGAGGCGGCAGTGGGAAGACAGCGTCTCAAAGACTGTCTCCAAAGTGCTGAAAACACTTCTAGGTTTATATAAAGACAGTGTGGGACAAAGGTGGGTGGGTACGTGCCGGTGGGCAGTGAAGGTCAGGTTGATCATTGTCTTAGGGTCAATCATGCGGGGTCTTGTGGGCTCAGGGCAGTGTTTGTGGCTTAAGGGGGTAGTTTAGGTTCCCACCTTGGGAAAGGGATACTTTGCCAGAGTTAAGGGTCTTTTGCCAGAGTTAAGAGATAAGCTGCAAGGAAGAATTTAATCAGAAAGTACAGACTGAGGTCAGAATAGAGGTGGTTGACATCCCCTTTCAGAAGCAGGAAGTCCAAGGAGGCCAGATGCAGGGCTGGGGCCCACAGGGCCAAGCTTGGGCCAGCCCGAGGCTCTCCTCCCACAGCCACCGAAACCCCTTTGTGTAGCTGGGAGTGTCCAGCTCTGGGCTGCAGCTGCTGCCCAAGCCAAGTTGAGAGGCCTCTTTACAATGGTTGCAGACTTTGAACTTTGTGAGGCCCCAAGCTTCCATAAACCTCAAGCGTGGGGTGATGACTAAGGCTGCAGAATATGAGCTGGAGCAGGAGACAGCGGTCCATGGGGAGGACAGAGAGTGCAAAGCCCTGGGAGGTTGGCCAGGAGAAGGGGGAGCAGGGCCACGAAGCTCACTCCAGCTGTGATCAGGTGAGGCCACAAGATGTAAAGTCTTGATTTGTTCTGTACTTAACCAGCTCTTCGCAAGTGCTTACCTGCAGCTTCCTGATTACATAAATAAACTTTTCATCCCAACAATCAAAATGTAGTTCTTAGAGATATACTAAACAGCCCTTAGGTAATGCTCAGTCTCTGAGGGAAAAAATATGCCTGGGTCTCTCTCTTCTGTTCGTCTGCACAGCATTGGCCTCTGGTCTAGGGGGACCGGGAAGAGCGGGTCCTGTGGCCTGTGTGTTGGCTCCTGCTTGCTGCCTTCCTGGCAGCCCCCTGTGGCTCCTGGTCTCCGTGGGGATCAGGACGAGCCTGGAGGCCCGCACATCTGCCCTTGAGGTCACATTGGTCCCTGCTGGGGCTCCAGTCCCCTCTGACATCTGGCTGGGCCCTCTAAAACCTTAACCTTGTAAGATTTCCAGATAAAATCCAGGACGTGCTCCCCTGCACATGGCCTGCCTGTGTGGCTCCGTCCGTGGCTCCGTCCGTAGCCTCGCGCCCACTGCGTGACAATACGTGGACTGCCTGCCCTCGCCCGGTCCCTACACGCACATTACCTGCATTTTCTCCCTCTGGGAATGTAGAGTGCTGCAGATAAAGCTAATGTCCCTTTTAACCCACCGCCCTGCTGGTTTCCCTGCCTTCTGTCCCTCAGAAATGCCCCTGTGTTTCACCAGTTTCATCAGTCGGGCCTGTGTCCTTACAGATGTTGTAAATCCTTTCACACACATGTATGCACCTGGAACATGGTGTGTGGCTTATAAAAATAGTATCATGCTGTACAGATTACTCCATATCTTGCTTCCCCCCACCCCGCCATATTTTTTAAATCAAGCCATGCTGATTTATGTGGCTCTAACACGTTCATTTTTGCTGTTGTTAAATACGTTGCCTCTTCAACACACCAGTGTCTGCTTACCCCTCCACCCATCAGCAGACATTTCCACAGCAAGCTTGTGTTTGCTTTCGTTTTTTAAATGTTAAAAGGAATGTCTTCATATAAACCTTCTTGGGCACGCAGAGGGTTTTTTTTTTCTTTTTCAGATACAAACACAGGAGTTGCTAACTAATCCCGTGCGCATTTCCAGACTCAACAGTCAGCCCCTAAGGAGCTGGTCCAAAGGGGCTCTCACACTGCCAGTGTTCCCTGCGCTGGGGAAGTCTGCCTCGCCGCACGCCTCCCTCGGCCCTGGTATTGGCTAGCTTCCGGATTTTTGGCTCACCTGATGGGCGCACATAGTTGGATGTTTTAATGTGAGGCTGCTCAGCTTTTCTACTGCTGGCCAGCCATTTGGAAATGAATCCTTCCTCCTGAGACAATCTTGTTGGAGTCGCTGCCCATTTCTGCCGGGGTTTTTTCCTTACTGATGCAGGGGAGGGTATCACATGTCCCAGATACTTACACTTTGCTTTGTATACATGGAAGCGGAGCAAATACGTGTGCTGCGTACCTTTAAAAAAAAAGAGATTTTATTAATTTATTTGAGAGTGAGAGCACAAGCAGGGGGGGAGGAGCAGAGGAAGAGGGAGAAGCAGGCTCCCCCCTGAGCAGGGAGCCTGATGTGGGGCTCCATCCCAGGACCCTGGGATCATGACCTGAGCCCAAGGCAGATGCTTAACCAACTGAGCGACCCGGGTGCCCTATGTGCTGTGTTTCTTTTGAACTCTTTCAAGGTATCTCATAGGATTGGTATTTCAGATCCGAGATGGTCAAATTATTAACATTGTTTTATGACTTTGCTGATTTCTCCTATTGAGGAGGGCTGTCCCAGCTTTAAGGTCAGGAAGATGTTCTCCTACATTTTTAGCTAATAATTGTCACATTGAGTGGTGGGGTGTGTGTATTTTGCAGATATATAACTTCCAGATGCCTTTGGAGGTAGGTCTTTAACATGTCATCTCCCTTTTCTGTTTTTTGGCCTGTTCAGATTTTTCTTTCTTCCTGGGCCAGTTTTGCTAATAAATGTTTTCCTAGAAAAGTGTCTATTTCATTAAGGTTTTCAGATGTGGGGTATTAAGTCCTTCCTGATCATAGTTTTTAATCTCTTGGTTGTGCCCTCTCTTTAATTTCAATGTTGTTTATTTGTGTCTTTTTTTTTTCCTTGCCGCTTTTTGCTGAAGGACTATTTTATTAGTCTTTTCAAAACACCAGCACTTGGGTTTGTCCTATTTTTGGTTTGTTTTCTGTTTCCCTAACCTCTTGCTTTTATTTTCTTTCCTCTTATTTTCTTTGGCTTTATTCTGTTGTTCTTTTTCTGTTTCAAAAGTGGACAGTTTGGTTCACTTATTTGTAAATCCTTGTTTTCGTATAAATGCAGCAGGGGAATGCATGTCTCCCCGAGAATGCCTCACACCGTGTCCCATAGGTTTCCATAGGCAGCACTGACATTTCCATCAAGTTCTAAATACTTCACAAATTCTGTTAGCTCCTCTCTGCACCATCCAGAACGGCCCTTGATTTTGCTGCAGCAGAACTCATCAGTCTTGTCTGTTATGATGAGTACTTTCGTGTCTTTTTCAAAATGTATTTCCCTACCCCAAAGGCATGACCATATGGAATGCTCCGTCCGGCTGTTTTCTAGAAGTGCTACTGTTTGCCTTTCACCTTCAGATCTGCAGCTGGATTCATTTTTGTTTATGACATGAGGGAGGAGGGCTCATTTTATTTTTTATCATATAGATCTCCAGTCAGTCTGTGGTTTTTGGAAAGACTGCCCTTCATCCAGTGCTCTGCAGGGCTCCTTTTTGGAAAATCAGTGTCCATACATGCTTGAATCTGTTTGGGGCTCTGTGATGTTGTGATTTCATAATAAGAAATGTGTATTTGGGGGACACCTGGGGGGCTCAGTCGGTGACGTGTCTGCCTTCAGCTCAGGTCATGATCTTGGGGTCCTGGGATCAAGCCCGTGTTGGGCTCCCTGCTCAGTGGGGAACCTGCTTCTCCCTCTGCCCCTCCCCCTCCCCTTCTCGCTCGCCCTCTCTCTTCTCTTAAATAAATAAATAAAATCTTTAAAAAGAAAAGAAATGTATATTTGGCCTTCATTTCTGGCACAGCGCTCCTAAACCCTTGGAATTTCCTAAGTGATAAGAGCCAAAAAGGTGTCTTTTATTAATTATAATAAGCCCCTTTCAGCCACACCAGGGTTCATGTCAGGGAGAGGGACTTCCCAGACTTTTGGAAAGACCCTAAGCATGGGGGCTGGTTTGACCTGGAACCAACCTTGTTGAGAGGGTTGGAACTTTTGGGACCAGGCCCCCCACCTCCTGGGAGGGGAAAGGGACTGACACTGAGTTCATCACCACGGGCCAATGATTTAATCAACCATGCCTATTCACTGAAGCCTCTGTGCAAATTCTGACCTCCAGGGTTGGGAGAGCTTCGGGGTGAGCCCATGGAGGTGCTGAGAGGGGGCACACCTCCCGCCACCCCCCCACCCCACCCCCTCTCCAGAGAGCTCATGGAACCTCCACCCCCCCTTCCCACATCCTCTGCCCTATGCATCTCTTCCATCTGGCTGTTCCTGACTATAGACTTTTTTTTTTTTTTTTTTTTTTTTTTTTTTTTTTTTTTAAAGATTTTATTTATTTGACAGAGAGAGAGAGAGCACAAGTAGGCAGAACAGCAGGGAGAGGGAGAGGAAGAAGCAAGCTCTCCACCGAGCAGGGAGCCCGACGCGGGGCTCGATCCCAGGACCCTGGGATCATGACCCGAGCCGAAGGCAGCCGCCCAACCGACTGAGCCACCCAGGTGCCCCTATAGACTTTTATAATTATAAATCTCGTGCCCATCCAGTCCTGCCTTGGTGTTTGCTTCTTGGAAGGCAAGAACCAACACACTGTGCACAGATTTAGATTTTATATCATCTGAATGATATTCTGTAGTTCTCCATACAGACATCCTGCACACCTGCTGTTAGATTTACCCCAGTAGGTGAAGGACACGTGTAAGTGGCATCTCCGATGGGCTCGATATGGCTGCACGTTCTCTTCCCCTCCTCCCAACAAAGGATGGAGTGTAGTACCCACCTCTCTGGGCTGACTGGTGGAATATGGCCAAAGTCGCTGTGCTGGGACTTGTGAGTCTAGGTCTCAGGAGGTCGCGCAGCTTCTGCCCCTGCCCTTGTGGCCCCCTCTGCTGAGAGCACCGTGCTGTAAAGAAGGATAGAGGGCAATGTGGAGAGAGAGCCCCACGGGCACCAGCCGTGCACGTGAGCCCGACGTCGGCCACCTGCCCCAGCCCCACGGCAGACCCAGCGAGGGAGCCCAGCGAGGCCAGCAGAAAGAAGCACCCAGCCACCCTCCAGAGTCATGAGAAACAATGAGTTGTGGGTCTGTTTAAGATACTGAGTGTTTTAGGGGCGCCTGGGTGGCTCAGTCGTTAAGCGTCTGCCTTTGGCTCAGGTCATGATCCCAGGGTCCTGGGATCAAGTCCCACATCGGGCTCCCTGCTCCGCGGGAAGCCTGCTTCTCCCTCTCCCACTCCCCCTGCTTGTGTTCCCTCTCTCGCTGTGTCTCTCTCTCTGTCAAATAAATAAATAAAATCTTTAAAAAAAAAAAAAAAAAAGATACTGAGTGTTTTAAGTGGTTTATTATGGGGCAAATGATAATGACTCCGGCGTTTGTTTTCAAATTTCACTTTCTGTTTGTTGCTGGTACCGTGGTTTTGTATATCGACCCTACATCTATCAACTACTAATTAACCTGCACATTCTTTGGGATTTTCTGTGTAACTCATCAGCTGCGAATAATGGCAATTTTATTTCCTCCTTTTCTAAATCCTCACATCCTGCATTGACTTTCCCTTCCTTACCTCACTGGCCGAGACTTCCAAAGCAATGCCGAGTAAGTGTCCTCGCAGAGTCCCGGCCTTGCCCCGGGTCTCCAGAGAGAGCTTTCCACACTTCACCTGGAGTTAACGTGCTTGTTGTCAGTTTTTCCGCAGGTGGACTTTATTAAGCAAGGGAACGCCTTGCCAATAGGAGGTTTACCAAGACTCTTCCATCCTGAATGGACATTGGGTCTCATCAAACACGTTCACTGTAAGTCCCTGTTAATGTGATAAAACACATTGACCTTACGATGTTATCCAGGCCTGTCTTCCCACAATAAACCCACTTTGCTCGTGACACGTCCTCTTCCCTCCTACTGTGGGCTTCACAGGCTGATGCGGATTTTCCCTCCTCTGTTTGAGCGAGGGACCGGCCCGCACTCCCCCCTCCCACAGTGCTCTCCCGGGTGCTGCCATTAACATTATGATCATCTGAAACAAGGTGGGGAATATGCCCTTTTCTCTTTTCTGGGAGAGTCTGTGCAAGATTAAGCTTGCTTGTCCACAAACATTTGGTAAAAGTTTACTCATAAAACAATCTGAGCCCACAAGTTGATTCTGTTAAAAGCTTTTTAATTACAGAGTCTTCGATTCTTTTCAGATCTTCCCTTTCTTCCTGCATCACTATCGGGAGTTGGGTTTTTTGGAAACGGGAAAGTACTCATTTCATCTCATCTTCCAGATGCGTTACCATGAAGTTGTCCCTCAAATTCACGTCCTGTTTTCCGTATCTACAGCATCTGGAGTGATGTTTCTTTTCTCTTCCTATTTCATTGTTTTTTCCTTTTATCTTTGTTGTTTCCTTCCTCTTACTTTCTTTGGGTTAATTTGATGGTCTTTCCCTAAGTTCTTGAAGTGAACGCCCGTTTCATTGATTTTCAGCCTTTCTTCGTCTCTGATACTTGAGCGAAGGTAACACATTAAACATGGCTTTAGGGGCGCCTGGGTGGCTCAGGTGGTTAAGCGTCTGCCTTCGGCTCAGGTCATGATCCCGGGGTCCTGGGACCGAGTCCCGCATCAGGCTCCCTGCTAGGCGGGGAGCCTGCTTCTCCCTCTGCCTCTGCGTCTCTCTCTCTCTCTCTCTGACTTTCATGAATAAATAAATAAAACATTTTAAAAATAAAATAAACAAATAAATAAACATGGCTTTAGTATAGCCCACAAGTTTTAGGTACATCGTGGGGTTTTTTGTTTTTTTTTTCATTTTAATTAATTTCAAAAT